ATTTCAATAAATTCTATGTTTATTATTAAAAGCCATAACACTTACATATAATAATGAAAAACAACTATTTATAAATAAATGTTTTCTTTTTTATAATTTTATTTTATTTTATTTTTGAAAAACATGACATTAAACTAGTCAAATAATATACCTTATACTCTATACAGTACATTGGTACGGCCAGTTAAACTACAAGTGCCTGTAAGTGATAATGTACTGTAAAAAATATGAATATACAATAATATTAATAATTATTATGATAAGCGATTGTAATAAATAAAAGTTTAGGTTAAAAACGAGTAATATTAATATACAATATTAATAATAAAGAAATAGTTGTTTTGTGAAATACAGAGTGACCCGTGAGAGGGGTTTTTAAATAGCAATAATTATTGTAAACTTAAGGTATACTCTCTCACACAGGTATGGGTGATATGAGTTGATACCATGAGTCCAATATTATCAACTATTTATTGTAATGTTTTGTTGTTGTTGTTGTTTATTATTTATAAATTTATAATAAAGTACATACTGTAGTGAATATCAATGTCTAAACCTATCTATATATGTATGTGTAAGGGACGGGTATTTATTGTGGCGGCGATTAGATTATGCAAAATAGTTGTACACAACTGTACACACACACACACACACACACACACACACACACACACACACACACACACACACACACACACACACACACACACACACACACACACACACACACATACATACATACCTAACAGCACCGATAGCTTTCATGCCGTGTCAAAGTCGTGCTCACAATTAAAGCGTTTGCTTATATAACTGGTATATAACACTACAGTGACTGACATAACAACACAACTCAAAATCATTTATTATTATTTATTATTCATTTTTCATGAATTTCTGTTGCTTTTTGTTGTTACTGTTTGTTGAACTGAAAAAAATATTTACAATTTTATTATATATTAAATTTATTGTATACTAACTGGTCATCAATTCATATATATATATACTGTGTATATATAAATTATATACATTATATGTATTGTATATGATTCAAAAAGTAATTTTATAATATACCGTATACTTATATAACGTAATGTAATTATTATTATAAATTATATTATGTATACAAAGTTTTTTTTTATTAAGTTTTATAATTTATCAATATGTTTTATATTATTATGTTTGGTTGCTTAATGTTTTAATGCTATTAAATTTATATTTAATAACTATTGTTTTAGTTTTTCATCTTGTATTATAAATATAAATACTAAATTACTTTTATGGTAAAAAATCATTAGCCCAGAGACAGAGATTAACTATTATATTTAAAAACATAAATATATTTGATGTGGATTTATATAAGTGTACAAAAAAAATATTTAAGATTACATGCCATATATAAAAGTTTATTTTTGTTAGTTTTTATTTTGCAATAGCTTATTAGCTAATAAATGTTAAAAATAAACAAAACACTGCTCGGATTTAAAAATTAAAACAATTTGTTTAATTAAACATTTGAATTGAATACATAAAAAATATAATATAAATTTTTAATTTCACTCTCTTTATATTATAGTTATGTAACCGCAAAATGTTAACCGTTTTACACGATTATCTTTATTATCATTATTTTATTATTGGATTAAATATTTACTCTCCATAAAGACATTTAATAATAATAATAATAATAATGATGAAAATAATAATAAATAATTATAATAATAAGTCATTTATTTAATAAGTGTTACAATTAGTGATTGTATTTAACAATAAAATTATATATTAATATGGAAATAAACTTTTTTGTTATTATATTGTGTTGATTATAGAGAGCGATAACATAAAAGACAAACTAAAATATGAAACCGTTTTTTCTCATTCACAGAAAGTTTTGGCCCTTTTTTATTGTTATCTTATTTTTGGTAAAAATAACTTTTTCCATAGAGAGAGAGAGAGAGAGAGAGAGAGAGAGAGAGAGAGAGAGAGAGAGAGAGAGAGAAATTATGTTTTAAATATAATGGCAGTTAATGTTATTTTAATGTTATTTTTACTAAATCATACAGTAATAGTTTAATAATAATAATACTAGACAGACCTATATACTATAAAATTCAACAAAAAAAACTATTATATGATAACATAATTATAATCGTGAAGTATTTAGTATACACAAAAATTGCTATTTACAGCCATTTTATGGGCCCTCCTATCGCCCCCTCTTTCTCTAACTTTAAATGCTATTTTTTGACATGATTTGTAAAAATGTTATTTTCACAATATAATTTGTTTAAAATATAAAATTATTATTTATGTATTTATCTATTTTGATAAACTATGTATCTTTCTTTATACATGTATATATATATATATAAATTTATATATAATAACTCTCTAATCTTATAATGTAATCTCATATTTAGTGGCGTTTGTTATTTTATTATCCAAAGTCCGTGTCGACTATTATTATTATTATTATTATTATTAAAATTATTACTCTTATTATTATTATATAACATATTATTTTTTTGAATGAATTGAAATCTATTTTATTGACTCAATTGATTTGAACTGTTGATATCACAAGCAAAAGTTGATACAGTTTTTTATTGTTGTTATCTGTGTGTGTGTTTCATGTCCTTCCCCTCTGGACTATCATTATTAATATTATTATTATATCGACTATTATTTTAGTAAAGAAAAAATAATTTTTGATTTATTAATTTGATTTGCGATAAATAATAAAATGATTTTTGCTACTCTTTTTTGTTGTTTCTGTTTTGTGTTTCAATTATTATTATTGTTAAGTTCACTGATTATACTAAATACATCACTTAACTAACAGTACTACTAATACTGTATATTATAAAAAATTTTGTATACTTGAAACTAACAGCCAAATTACTCCATGAATTTTATATGACTAATGACTGGCTTATTATAATTCCTACCGATTTTTGATATATATCTGATAAAAACTGATATAATTTTTTTTATATATTATTAACTTTTTAATATAAAGTCCGTGAGCTGTAAAAGAGGCAAAAAAATTGTTTCCAATCTTTAGGATATATTTTATTAACTTAATTTTTTCTCTCAAAAAACCAATTTTTTGATCTAAATTACAAAAATTTATTATACATAAGATTATTAATTTTTTAAGGTTTAATTTATTGCAGGAATTTTTTGGTTTCAATACAGGAATTGCATTTGAAATTTGTTATACATTTGTTATGCTATTTTTTTTGAAGAAAAATATATTTTGTTTTATTGTTAGCCCATTAAACGTTATATTAGAGTCAATCATTTAGATTAATAGATTGATATGCTATAAGGCTTTTATCATTAACTATTCACAAGATATATATATATAAATATAAGTTATGACCACAATTATAATGCAATAAAAGTCGTGCATATTTATCCCTCACATAAAATAATATCGTTAGCATTGATATAGTATATTATAGTAAAAGTGATTTCAAACTAGCTCACAAACAATATATATATATATATAGAAAAAATAAATATATTTAACTAACAAAAACACAAAATACAGTAAAATTGTTTTTTTAAACCACTAAAACAAAAATTCATTAGTAAAAAACAATCTACTAAAAACTAAAGAGAGAGAGAGAGAGAGAGAGAGAGAGAGAGAGAGAGAGAGAGAGAGAGAGAGAGAGAGAGAGAGAGAGAAAGTACTGAAACAAAAATAAAATAATATATGTTTTAAATTGTTTTCTCGGTTTAAATGATTTGTTGGCCAAAAAATGAAATGTTTTTTAAGGAGAGACAAGCAATGAATTTATTGCTATCGCAATGTTTGTATAAATGATTTTTTGTTATTTGTTTCACTGTAAAAATAAAGCACACAATTTGTTTTGTTGGACTCTTTTAAAACAAAAAAATAATAATTTAAATTAAGGAGAAAATGTAATGAAAATGTTTTGAAAGGAATTCATTAGACATTGAACACCACAGTATGCCATAAGGGTATGGTATGAAATGGTATGGCTTTTTCATAGGTAATACACGCCATGCATATGCATATACTAATGGTGTTTCCTATCGCTAAAATAAAACACAAAAAAAAACAATATCTCCGGCTCTACAGCTAAATAGTTTTCAGGGTATATGACTTATATTACTGAGTTTTGAATTATATTTATATACAGTATAAAAAAAATTACAGTAATAATATAAAAATGTGTATACTTTATATAATTATAATATGATATATTGAATTACAGCTGGAAAAATGTTTTATAATAATAATTATGTAACTGAAAAACTATTTGATATCTAAAAAACTAATGTCATAATACAAATGATATAACAGGTTGGATAATACAAATATGAAAAACAAACTATAAATATATTATTAATTTAAAAATTATTTAATATCATCCGTGTATTTATTTATACAACAATATATAATATAAATGCCTCCTCGAAATAGATTATTATATAATAGTGTAAATATTGTACAGTAATATCTAGAAAAATATTGATAATGTTTATGTTGTAAATTATAGTTTAATATATTGAATGACAATTTTATTTTTAAAAATAGTTATATCTTTAAATGTAAATATTACTCATATAATGTAATTTAAAACTTAAAGCAAACAAATGTGTTATAAAATCTAATTATTATTAACAAAAACAAATTATATATATTATAAATTTATATAAATTATGAGATATCACTCTCAAATACCGTACAGTAAACTCATTGCTAATATTTATAGTAATAAAAATAATTGAGTCACTCAAAACTCACAAATATAAATGATTTTATTATCTAAACACTGAAAAAATGCTGTGATTTTCATAGATATTGATATTTATATAAATAAATAAATCATCATTTTTTTCAAATGTAAAGTATATATAGAATATTTCTTACATTTTTTCTATGTATAACACTGTATATAAAGTTATAATAATAATTCAAAGCTCAAACTGATTGGTAGTTCTGCCGCAAGTTATTTAACTGAACTGAAAAAATTGTGATTACATTAGTGGCAATACATTAGAGCCCAACAATCATAATCATAATAATAATAATACAATAAATTTAATACAAGTCATCGATTTATTTAAATGGCATTAAATAAATGAAAAATAGTAATACATTTATAATTTGTGTTATGACTTGTGGTTACGTGTGTTGAGTGCATTTCCCCAACTAATTGTATATCTTTATCTATAGTTTTGCTTAGTTGTTTAGCTTTTATCTACCTGTCCATCCACTCCCAGCACATAAGTTAAACACAATTAGTGAGTGAGAGAGAGAAAGAAGTGGTGGCGAGAAGTCAATATAATTATATTTACTGTGTTGTTAACTATCGTATGAATATTAAGCGGATGTCTCCACCCTTAACTATATTGTAACAGTGGTGCTCATCCATATACCGGTGCTTATCTATCATACACTACATGTGTGTGTATATGTGCTGCTTCTTCAGCTGCAACACCAATGGTTACGGGCTGTCAGTTCACTCCAAATATTACTCATTTGTAACCATCGATGAGTGTATGCGACTATTGGCCCACAAAATGTGATGCAAACAACTCTATTAGCAAAAATACAAACCAAAAGTACATAAACTGCTATTTTTTAAATTACAAGACAACTATAATCACATCAATAACACACATCTATAACATTGGGATTAGGATCGCATTGGTAGGTCTGATCAATCTATCACTATCGCTATCTTCTTATTTTTCGCTAACCTAGCCTACAGTTCCTCGTACTTCACACACAAATAAGGTTTGAAAACAAAAATTATAAAAATAAAAAATTATAAAAAAAACCACAACTAAATAGACAATACATGTTGTATCACTGATTGTAGCACTGATAGATATGGATAGATATATCAAAACAATATTAACACCAAAAAATTGTTTTAATAATGTTATTGTTATAACAGTTATATTGTGGGGACTAATAATACAATGATAATAGTCGGAAGTTCCTAAAACTGAGTCACCCCCACCTTTCCGGTACAAACATTTATCTGCTTTAGTATTACTGGTTTGTTATCTCTGTCTCTCTTTCACCATTGATTTCTCTCTCTCTCTCTCTCTCTCTCTCTCTCTCTCTCTCTCTCTCTCTCTCTCTCTCTCTCTCTCTCTCTCTCTCTCTCTCTCTCTCTCTCTCTCTCTCTCTCTCTCTCTCTCTCTCTCTCTCTCTCTACCAGTCCATCCAATCTATCGGTGCACTCAATTGAAAAATAATACAACCACTATTTTGGCTATTATTAAATAAAAATTTTTGAAAATTTTGGTTTTCTCCACATATTATTATCTCTGCTATTATAGTATTATTGTATTTAGAGAGACAATCGATGAGGATTGTTACCCCAAAATGTCAGTACCAGCTAAAATGCAGTGTTGTATGAATTGTTATGTTTTGTTGTTTTCTTTTATTGTGTTATTATTATTATTATTATACAATATATTATATTTTGTGTATTGTATTGAAAACCTCATAATCAATGGTCTGTATATATATCTCTCTCTCTCTTTAAAACCATAAGAGATATATAGCACTGGGAAATACACTGTTTAAACATTACAGACATAAGGATAAGCATTTGACTAATGCATACATCGCTGGGAACTTATATAATATTTGAGTGCCTTTTTTGCTATATATGTATACACACAGTACTAATATACATAAAAGTCAATAGCTTTTAACTGTAGTCCCGGCTGAGTATATTAATTACAGGTGCAAATGCAGACTTTTTTAAAGTATGACTGGTTCTCTCTCTCTCTCTCTCTCTCTCTCTCTCTCTCTCTCTCTCTCTCTCTCTCTCTCTCTCTCTCTCTCTCTCTCCATCCAATTTTGTTGATCCATTTGGCAATACGTGATCAAAAGGCGTGCTTTTGAAGCTATTTTAATGCCATAACATTTATTACATTCTCTCTCTCTCTCTCTCTCTCTCTCTCTCTCTCTCTCTCTCTCTCTCTCTCTCTCTCTCTTACCTCTTGTACTATGGACTATACTATACATAATACATATATGAGAAACCACTTAACTTGAAGCCCAATGCAATGTTCAATTTGTGGTTAAATTTCATAGACACTGAAAAATATGTGCTTTTATATCGCTGTCAGCCATTCATTACATTAGTGTATAAGTTATATACAAATATCATATTTATATATGCAATCTCTCTATACTGAATATACCGAACCGATTGCATAGTTGTCTAAATAGTAGATGACTTGTGTGTATGTAATGAAAAAAATTTTAAATTACATTTTGTTTTCATGTCGTTTACATTACATTTATTATTATATATGACTAGAGTCTCACATCATACATACTATTTTGATAGCAATTACTATATTATTTATTTCCTATCATATCAAATATAAACTAATATCAGTGTTGGCTTCAAGTGTACAATTCTCAAAATATACATACCAGAGCTGCAAAGTGGGGAACTGTATATGATATGTTCAACTGTTAAATAAACTAAACTCTATCTCTCTCTTTCTCCTTCTCTCTAACTGGCAGTCAATGTCTCACTCACTTTAAATAACTTTATTTTGTAAATTGTAGGCTAACTTAAATAAATATCACTCTCTTAACACTTATACATACAGTTGTCTATGATTTTCCCTTTTCCTCCCAATTGCTTACAAAAAAGAGACGATAAACTAAAGTTTTCTTAGCATTTATTTATTTATTTAAACCGATTGGTAAAAATGCATTAATGTCTATATTTGTATTGTATATACTATATACTCTTAATTTGTTAGGTATGTCCTGAAATAAAAGTCAACAAATTTTCAGCAAAAATAAATACAACACATATGCCAAACACATTGCAAAAGAAAACCACTTAAAACTATAAGATCTCCCTCTTCTTTAGCCAATATTTTTTCAATGATTTACCATTGATTTTAGGTCTGTGTGTATAGTTTTGTAAGAGTCCGGCTGTGTTGGGATTGAGTTCAGCACCAGAGTGTCGGTGCTATTAGTAATTTGAATCAACAATATTATAAAGCAATCTCCTTATGTTTTTGATCAATAGCTATAGTCATATGTCTCCATAAGCCTAGTATTTCCCTTTCCCCTGAAAAAACTAAATGCATTGCTTTGTACACCAAAAATCATATACAAAACATACGGTACGATAAAGTTAATGGTATACCCTCTGTGCTCATCTCTCCCAAAAACATTAGGAGATCTCCGACTGTTTTGACCTCTCTTTACATATATATTGACATTTCATGTCTCCTCTCTTTCTTTCTCTCTCTCCCATTGCTATCAAAGTTCAATAGTAATTATAGGGCAATAGTAGATATATGGCATAATCATTTGTAACCGAGCGTGAAAGGCCATAGGGCTTGTAAGACAGTGCCTGCTATTCTCTCTCAGTTCAAGCACCAGTATGTTAGGGATGTGCCAAAAAAAGATGATGTGCTGAAAAATTATACGATAAGAAAGAAAAAATTTTGCAAAACATATTTTCCATTTAATATATGTAATATAAGGAAAACCAAAATATTATATTGACTATAAAATTAGCTCTCAGAGCACTGGCATCTGTATAAGTATGTGCTTTATGTTGGGATATATATATTGGGATATCTAATCGTTAAGTGAAATAATGCACCATTCAGTCACATAACGAGAGCTGTACAACCATAGCTCATAGCCCATCAGCTCCGGCAGTCCCGAGAGTGATGCTTAATGTACCGGTGCTGTACACGATTTGTTGCGGAACAGTACACCTCTCCGATCATTTTTCCCTTCCAGTATTTCATACACTAACATCATATACATTCTGTACATATGTTACTCTACAGTATGTTTAGAGGGCTAATATAACACTGGTATCCATGTAGATCCATAACTCCAAACGTATGACCCATACTATTATTGGGGCTTAACTTTCACAGTGTTTTCTTGTTGTATATTATACATCAAGTATTCATAAAATGCTTATAAAAAGTTGTATGCATTTCATTCAATAGCATTCAATGTATGTTGTTATGTTGTATATGTCAAAAAGGGACGAGTAGTATAACATACAGGTACCACAAAAGCCCATTTGTTTGCGGTTTTACCTGTGTTTTGGGGCCTAACCTATTATATTGTACAGTGATTTCGATGATCGTTACCTATGATATGTCCGATACCTGTATTCGTATAACAAAAGAGTTTTTAACCGAACAAAACATTGCCATTCAATTGTCAACAATAGGTTCTATAGAACTAACATTAAGGAATGGGAGCTAAGATATGGACTATACATAAGGACACACAGAGAATAACGTACAAACATAAGGACTGGTGACTAGAAAAAGAGGGAACTGTTATCAATAGACAGAAAGAGAAAGAGAGAGGAGAATCCTCGTAGCAAACGGAGCCGAACGAAAGCAACCGTAAAAGCATAGGTATGGAAATGCATCGACTTTTATGCCGTCCATTATATATTCAATAGACACCAGAATTTCAATAGAGAATTATTATTGTTGTCGTTAAATGAAGTAAAAAATGTGAACCAAAAGAGAAAAATTGAATAAAATTTTTGTACAATTCTTAGCATTGGTTTTCCATCATAAGATATAACAAGGAAAGAGAGAGAGAGAGAGAGAGAGAGAGAGAGAGAGAGAGAGAGAGAGAGAGAGAGAGAGGACAGTCATATTATAGCTATACATCTTCGTAAAAATAGCAGTCAAACATTTGTTATGAAACGCTAAAAGCATTTTTTGATTTTTCCTACTCTCTAAAAGTTGTGTTTTATAGCATACTTTAGATGAGAGACTGTCGACTCCAAGTCCCCAAAAAACAACTGTTGCCTCGCTATCAACTGTTCTCTCGCTTGACTCTTGATTTCACGTCTCTGAAAATTGGAGTCTCCAATGATAACCTACCAGTGCCCGTGAAAAATGCTATACACTCTAAAATCTACTATCACTTAAAATACATAACAACACTCGATATAACATTTTTTTGTAAACGTTTGTATTCTACTAATAATAAAAACAGTGTTTAAAACAAAATTGTGTTCATGTGTTTCGTGTAGTCGTTGTTTTATTATTACTTAAAGCAAATACCAGTGCTTTTAGAGAGAGAGAGAGAGAGAGAGATTCGCTGGTGGTTTAGGGCCAGTGGTTTCAGGGCTAATGTTTTAGTGCCAATGTATGTGTGCGAGCACTGGCTATAGCTCTTGGCGGTAATCTTTTGCTGGGACTTTAATCATAAAAGAGAGTAACCGAGAGAGAGAGAGAGAGAGAGAGAGAGAGAGAGAGAGAGAGAGAGAGAGAGAGAGAGAGAGAGAGAGAGAGAGAGAGAGAGAGAGAGAGAGRGAGAGAGAGATAAAACTCGTGAAGAAACTCTTTTTTATCGTCAAAAAGTATCTCTCGTTTAGCTTCAAGTGTTTATATATAACATACAAATAATAATAGAAGATATAGAATATAATAACAAGCAATAAGAATAAGAAAAATCCAATTTCTAATCCCTGTTTACTCACAAATACTCACACAAATACATACATACATAACCGTTCCTCCCGGTGCTTATAACAGACAATCACGTTATCAATTTTATAAATCATATTTTTTGGGAAATTAAAAAAATGAAATTTAAATTTATAGTACAATATCAGATCGTGAGCTTTAATATGCAATATTATTTTTGGTAACTACTTATATAATACTATATATATATATATACAATATATGATATTAAAAAACTTTTTATTTTGTTTGTCAATTTGACGGTTACCTTTTAAATACCGTATGTATGTATGTGCACATGTATGTATGGGCTGCTAGGTTTTAAACGCACAAACACACACACACACACACACACATACATACATACATACACTACACTGTACACATCACTAGACTGGTTCATACATACAGAGAGTGAGCCGCGAGGAACTCCTATCGTATGAATACAAGTCAGTCTGTGATTGTGCTCCAGAGTGAGAGGTTGTGTTTAAGCTATCAATGTATGTTTGAGCGCGATATCCAACAGTTCAGTCCAATCGCTCTCACGTTTTGCCGTTTTTTAAAAAAAATCGCGAAACTAATGGCAACTAAACAATTGAACATTTAGTTGTGGTTTAGTTTATGTTTGAAACTAACTCAATATATATATATTACAAACTGAGAGCAACTGCTGATTAAAAACGACTAATAATAATAATATTAGTAACGATTTTTCTCTTAAATATATTGTAACAATATTTCCAATAATAATATTATATTTCACTGATGTGTGAATAATATTTAAATATATCGATAAATTGTGTTGAAATATATTGCACTCTACCCGTGCAAACATTCATATCACTGCCAATAATAATAATAATAACTACAGAATAAATATATATATATTTACATCAACTAAGTTTCAAAGTGCTGTCTCAACATTAATAGCTAATTATAATAATAATAACAATTATTGTTTATTGTTAATACTATATCATTACTTATTTTTGGATATAATAATAAATTTGTATATCATATATATTTATTTGTGTTGGTGTGTACTGAAATTTAACAGAAATTCATTGCACTGTTATTTCTTTGACAGACAGACAGTCATATACAGTATATATCTGTGTTTATCGAGGAATCGCCTATTTTTGCTAAAAATTGCAATTTGTGTGTCAAACAAAACAGCTGAACAACGAGAAAAAATAGACAACAATTTTATTTAATTAATAACAAATAATAATCTTTTTAATATACATTGTATTTTTTGATAATATAGTTTTGCTAACTTTTGAAGTAAACCGATAACAAATTAAGTTAAAATATATAATTTTTAATATTTATTATCAGTATTGTGTAAACATAATAAAAAGTAAAAATATAGTAAAGAATTTTTTTTTATATATTATTTTATCTAAAAGTTATCATTTGTTGTCATTGGAGAGATTTTTTATATATATATTTTTATAGTACTTGTATTATTAAAATATTAAAAATACTTTTATTTTATGATAATCTAATATTTATCTATGGGATTAAATATCATGTTTTTGAAGGCAACACTTTTACAGATTGCCAATAATAATAATAACTAAAAGTTTTTATATTCATGTGTTTGCATTTTCAATAGTAGTTAGTATTATATTGACTGTGTATTTATGATAAGTATTAAATGAATTCAAAAGCAATTTTGCAGTGATTTCAAAGTAATGAGAAAACTATTTTTCTTATAAATACTAAAAATATCAAATATAATATTATATGTCATATTTATAAATATATATATTTATATCCATATCAACAATACTGTACTACCAGTGCTGCTTATTTCTATACAAATATACAAACATACACAGTATATGTTAACATAATAACTGCAAAAACAATTTCTATATATACTGCCAGAGAAATACCAATTATTATTTTTATAGCACTTTTTACGTATTGATATACCGATTATATATACATAATATTTTTATTGTGATTAGACATTAATATGTTTGCAGTCGTAAAACTATTTTATTTATGACTTATCTAATAATTATAATTTCATATTTGTGCAAATAAGTCAATTGGCAAACAGAAAAAGAGAGAGAAAAAAATATGAAACGACAAACACCACAAAGTTATTTACCAAATTGTTTCATCACTGTCACCATCACATATGGATTACTATTGCTATGTTGGGCACCGGTAATTAGCCGGGCATCTCACTCATCGCTACGAGTTATCAACAATGGCTATGAAGGGTTAGTTGTGGCCATTAATCCCGAAGTTGGTCAGGACGATGCTATGATTGAAAAGCTAAAGGTTAGCAACAAATTCATTTATTACATGATATATATATATATATATTTTTTTTTGTTTTTATTTAACTTTATATATAGTATAAGTGTTACAACTATATATGGTGTGAACAAAATAATTGACATAACATTTATAGTAATGTTTTCATTACCTTTTCTTCAAGTGTGCAGAATATATATATATTATATGAAATTATATTATTTGAGAGGGAAAAATATAATCTCTATCTCTATGAGAGTACAAAAAAGTTGTTTTACTTTTTATTTTAAACTAAGAGAAAATTATTTATGTTTTTTTTTTGTTATTATGTCTAAGATATGATGTTATGAACACACAATTTTATGCTTTATTATCCACACATTATATCTATCACTGTCTATATCTATCTGTAAATGTTATTTGTAATAATGTATTGTTGTTAGAGTTAGTCAATACGTGTTGTGTGTTATTTAGAGGGTAGAGATAGATGTACTGAAAGAGAGAGAGAGAGAGAGAGAGAGAGAGAGAGAGAGAGACTAACATTTGTTAAAAAAAGTTTAGTTCACTATATTTTTCATGTGAATACACTATAAACAGAAATGTGTACACAAAATCGTGATGTAATTTTCGCCCAAACAAAGTGCATGAAGTTTTGTGTGCCGGATATATATACAAGATATGAGAGCTGCATAAATAGCCTTTCCATCCATCTATCTATAGATATATACAATATATACTGTATAATGTATGGCTCAGAGACTTAAAACCTGAGCACCTTTAGTCAATGCTTAGGTAGATATAGTTTTTTGTATGTCTGGCAGTACAGTATACATGTTGTGTTTGATAGTTTTTAAAAAAAGTGATTTTAAGCAAAAAAAACATTGAATGCATATTAGGAATAAATCGAAAAATTTTAGTTCAATGACTACATAATATACAGTATTTTTTAATATATTGAGAGAGTTTATGGACTGTTATGTTCTCTGATGTATTCACTAAAAAAAACATTGAGAGATATAGAGACACACATATTGAATATAATATTATTATGAGTCACTAAACTATGAAATACATTAATATAAACCTTGTTTCATAATTATTGACACTAAATTTACTTAACTAAAATAAACTACAATTTAATAGCAAAATAAATTATTATAATAGATTTTTAATAATACATTCAAATAGTATATTATGTAAGAATCTGTTCCCGTTTTTCCCTTTAAATTATCTCTATGATTACCACTTTTAATCGGGATTTAGTTACCCGATAGTAAATTTTTTAAAATTATGGACCAAATTATCTTAAATGTCTTGATTATTGACCGTGGTGATTTTTTTTATGATTCTGCTGCTTTCTAACGAAAGATAAAGGTTAGACAAACATCTTGGATGCACCACAAAGACCTGGATGGTCAATATCAATGATATTTAAGATAATTTCGGTACAAACTTCTGGAGTCATAAATTATGTTACCGAAATTTCGATTATAATAGTGAATTAGAGAGACTAAAACGGACTAATTTAATATTAAAAAACAAATTAGTTTAATCTTTATACTTAATATTTTAATTTAATAATAATTATTTTTTGATAAATTTAATTATAACGTAATTTAATTCAATTTAAATTAGTGTCAATAATTATGAAACGAATATATTTACAGTAATATATTTAGTAATAAAAATGATTATTATTGTTTAGGTATTGTTCAGGTGCTTTCAAATAGTTTTCAATGCATGCAAAACATTCATTTAATAAATAGATAGAGAAATATGTTATATTTAATAATAATAATAACACGAATTCAACGGCTGTTATGCTGGCAATCATTTAAACGGAAACTTTTTTCCTCAATATTTCTGTCAAATATTAATAAATATTTTATATTTTTGTATCATTATATGTAACAAAATACTTATAGAATAATATGTGATAAAAAGCAATTTATAATATTATTATTATATTATATATCCGTTTGTTTTCTCTATTTTAGACAACAATAATTCCTGAAGCGTCCAAACTATTGTATAACTCAATTGGATTATACTTAAGCCAAGTGACCATACTGGTGCCCAGTAGCTGGAATATAGACAACTACCCGTCCATGGGTATACCTATCACTGGCTTACCTGTCCGATACAGCGATGCAGATGTTTTAATCACAAATAGAGGTAATTTAAAAAAATTAACTTTTAAAAGGCATGACGAAAGATAAAAAAAAAATGTTTATTATATATAAACAATATTACTTAATATATACAGTAATATTAAATTTAATACATTATATAAACTCAATATTAAATTATAACTTTTATGATGAGCACCAAACTCTCCTAATGCATGACTGGCTTCAATGGCACCGACAGTTTTTTATTTAAGCACTGGTAGTCAGTCATTAATTATCAATTGCTGTCAGAATGCTATGAATCAAAATATTTAGATTAAAGTTATTATTTTTTTCTAATATAATTTTATTAATGTTACATAACTTAATAATAACAACTCTTGACTTTTTATGGCAAATAAGTCTTAATGATATTAAAGAGACAATTATTATTGAATATATGAATAGAAGGTTATATAGCATTGAATACCAGTTAAATATAATGCTTTTAACTTATTATTGTATAGTAGAATGCATTTAAAAATTATTATAGAAATTAATAATAATTGTATGCAATTAGTTATAGTTTAATAATTTAAATTTTTAAAAATTGTGAAATATTTTTATTTATTTATTTTTTATCTTAGATTTTGAACAATCGTTTACAAAGCAATGGGGTGGTTGTGGCCAACACGCACTTCCCATTGTAATGACAAAGCCATCAGTTACAGCCAGTGAACCTATTTATGGCGATACCGCCAAACTTTTTGTCCACCAGTTTGCTCAGTATAGATATGGTGTGTTCAATGAGTTTGGTTTCCCATCCGATCCATTATATCCGACACATTATAGTATTCCCGGAAATCCCGATTCAAACCAAATATTGGTCAACTCGTGCGCCGATGATCACCAAGTGTTCAATGTGACCACACAGACACAGTTAGGACAAAACTGTAGGCTAATTGTCGGCAACGGTACTGGATTGCCAATCAAAGATCCAGACTTTAAACAGCAATGCATACCAGTGCCCAAACCCAGTGATAACTCATACGAGTCGTCACTAATGTACTCGCCATCAGTGGATAGTGTAAACCAATTTTGTGGTTATCACTCGACAAAGAAACTTCATAAACATAATTTAAATTCTCCAAACAAACAAAACAGTTTGTGCGGCTCCGACACGTGGACTGTCATCTCAAAACATCCCGACATACCGTAAGTGTGCCATTAGTATTGTTTATATAATTTTATTTACTCATATACAGAGTAAATATCGGTACTGTCCAATACATTTTTTTTTTTGTTTAATGTTTTGTACATTATCATATAGTTTTATGTGTTTAGTCTGCATTATTGACAATTAGTGTACAGTATATCAATAGTTTATTTTATGGACAGTTGTTTTAGCAATAGATCCCCGGTATAGCATAACATTGACCTCCTAAAAGAAATGCTAACTAACTATTATAAATATATAATACTGATAGCTAACTGTAAAAAAAATTTGCAAACCAACAATAAAGTGATTTGACTCCTATTTCTAATGTATTTTTAATAGCATTCAATTATTTTATTTCCTATACTATTATAATAGTATTATTGTTGTGTAGAAAACTTTGATTCCTATGTTTAATCCCTTGATATGCAGTACTTGAGGACTGGCATTACAGGACAGGTAGAGTTCAACAGCAATAAAAGTAATGTTATGGGAATTGTAATGAAAGAGGAGTCAGTCAGTCAGATATACATACAGATAGATAGATAGATATAGAGAAAGATAGAGAAGCTATAGATAGATGTGTGGGGGATATAATATATTATTGACAATACATTTATAGGAAATGCTATAAAAATATCGTTTTTGCATACCATTATTGAATACCATAACTAATAATAATGATAATACAAATAGGATATACTGTAGAAATTTTTATTAGGAAATGATAGGAAAAATTCTTATCAATTCTCCTGTGATTTATGTTTTCAAATGAAATAAAAATAAATTTCTTAAACCAAATATTAATTTGAATATCTATTGATGTCTTTTACATATATAGTCGTACATATGAGGTATTTCAGGAAACCATTGACATTAAGATAAGCAAACCGGCCGGTCCTAAGGTACTGTTTGCGGTCCATACATCACAAGTATGGGCTCAAAATAAACGATACGAACTAATCAATCAGGTTATGTCCAAGTTTAAGCTGGACATGAAGGGTGCACTGGTATCTCTGTTTACTTATACAACTGGTGAACCGATTGTTAAAGTACCATGGACAACTGATTTATCACAAATTAAAGATCTTAAACCGAGCAGTAATCCTGAACCAGATGTTAATTTTGAGAAAATACTTGAGTCGGGAATCAATACATTTAAAGCTGATTCAGTCAATGCCGGTGGAGCTGTATTTACCATATTTTTTGCCGGCAAAGGCTATGCACACGTAAATGATGACAAACTAGTAAAATATGCACAATATTTCCAACAAAATAATATCAAACTATTGATAATTGTATTCCCATTGAATGGTAATCAAGCGTATAGACAAACAGCGGTCGAAATGTTCGAGAAAGTAATTTCCCGAACGGGCGGACAGGTATTCTATATAAGAGAGGACTCGAATCCAATGACGACTGTCCATCAACTGTCCAAAGCTATGGCCACCATTGAGACGGAGTATTCGGGCGATACATCCAATGCCTATCATGTAATCAGTGAACAACTTATTAGACCCATTAATAATACGCTGAACTTTGAGTTCAATGTAGACGAGACACTCATGAATAGCCGTTTGAGAGTCTATTTTATCGGATCAGGTCTTATGGAAGAAGTGGTGTTGAAAAAGACTGGTATTCCTGATATTAAAAATCCTAGTTATACTGATGGACCAAATTTTAATGGTTTTCTAATTGATATAAACAAACCCGATCACATTGGCAAATGGCAATTGACGGCCCCCGTCGACACAACTACTATGGGAAAACCCACAGCCTATGTTGCCGTTGCAGAGTTTGCTACCAAATCACTTGATGGCCAATCAGACTCTAAGACTGCTGTCGGCATCGATGGACCAGTTAGAGCTACGTGTTGGTTGAAACAATCGCCAAATATGCCAGTCATAGCATATGTTAATATTAACGGCAGAATTGATGAACTGGTATCAAATATGTTAGTCAATCTTACAGTGACTGATGAGACCGGACGTACAGAAACATTTGATATGCTAGACAATGGTGCCGGCGATCCGGATATTACTCAGGGAGACGGCATATACTCTCAATATGTTATTAGTCAACAGCCGATAATAAATAAATTTTACTATACTGTAAGCGCCGAAATCAGTAGCATTAGCTCCAATGAATTACCGACAGTTGTCACTGATTTTGGCTCCACATCTATGCCTACCACTCCAACTGGCAAAACTTGTTGCGGATCTAAAGTGAATGGACAGTTGTCTACAGTCAATCTTGGAACTGAAAAACTAAATCGTGTTGTTGAATGTGGCCACTATGTAGTGACCAGTGATGTCAACATACAGAACTATCCGCCAAATGCCATCAGAGACTTGAGGGTAGAGAACGCTGATCATTACAACAGAACTGTCAGTCTATTATGGACTTCGGTTGGTGAGCACTACACACAAGGATCGGCCACCAAATATGTGATCAAAGCTTTTCCGGCCGGCAATGATGCCATCAATGATGACTTACGAAAGAAGATTGCAGCCGACTTTGACAACCTGAGTGGTGCCAGCATTGAGGTCACCGATCGGACAGTGAGTTACATGTCGGCGAGCAAAGAGCAAAATTATGAGATAAGGATTAAGTCGGACGACGGCGGCGTCTATTATGTGGCCGTCCGCGCCTACAACAGCGCCGGAAAGGGCGGTGCCGTTTCCAATATAGTGATGGCACAAATCAAAAGTAATGTCATAATAACGAGCACAACTGCTTTTGATATTGATGTTAGCAAACAGCCAGGTATTGCCCCCCACTTGGCCTCAGTGTGTGTGTCCTCTCGTCTAAAACGGTCACAACTCTGTTGGCTGTGTTTATATGTTTCCTAATATTTTGTTATTATTGTTATCCTTATATATATCGGGAATGACTGCTTTGCACGACATTTGGCACAATATTTTCTTGCATGACATCCAATGTTTTTATGTATCAGTTTTAAAGTGTTGCACATCTTTATGTATTTAATAGTTTTTTTCTCATTTAGATAACATATTTGATTTGTTTATTTTTCAAAACTAATATTAACATTAATTTAATTTTTGAAAATTTAATTTTTTTTTTCTCATTTTTTATTTCCTAGTTTTTTTCAATTCATAAATACTAACAATTATTTGAGTTTTGCACTTTATTTTAACACATTTTGAAAATTTAATATTTTAATGAAATTGAATCTAATCTTTTAACATTTTGTTTAATTAAATTAGTGAATCCATCCAATGATTATCCCAAATTAGCGGGACTCGAGTGGTGGGAATGGCTATTGGTAGCCATTGGTGGCGCCGTCGTGTTGTTGCTCTTCTTTATATTTGCCATATGTTTTGTATGCAAACGTCGCCGAAAGACAACCGACGAAACAGACCGCGAACAGTCCAATCACGAACCATCTATTCCTACCCGTAAAGCACCGGAACCGCCGCGAGTGTCGCCAGAATTAGAGAAGAATCGAAGCATTCTGTTGGATGACAATAGTCTGACCCGAAGTGTCGACAATATACCCAATCTTAACATAAATAATTTACAACAAAATAATGCCTACAATTCGGTTGGTTTGCCGCTGAACCCCAACTTCGGCTACAATACTGATCCCAATCAACAGCAAAATATTTGTGAGCTTAACGTCGCCGCACTGAGTCCTGTCCAGTCGTGGAACGCCAAAGACCTGCTGACCCATTGGGGTCGGGTTCAAGAGGCCAAACAGCGTCACGAGGCGCCACCAGTCATGCGTATCGAGGACTTGTCCTCCGCCTCTAGCAATCACTCGCCATCATATGCTTCCTCAGAGGATGACAACAACATCTACACAAACCCGCATCCGTGGGGCTATCAAGAGGTCCAGACCCGGCCTATGTATGCCATTCCCAATGGTTACAATCAGGAGCCTATCTATCGTAGTTCTCAGGATCATCTGATGAGGTCAAACACACCAAGTGATACCGTTCCCCGATATAGTACTATAGTAAGGAAGACAACACAAAATGTATCACAAGTTTAGTCACAAATAGTTTTGTTTTAAATATCATTAAATGAGTTTTCAATTCAATTGCAATTTTATAGATAAATATCATATAAATTGTTTATATATTAATTAATTAATAATTTCAAAGATATATAGTTTTGAAAATAAAAACACAAATTAATTGTGTTTTCTGTGATTTCATAAAAACCAAAGTCCTAATCATTAATACATATTATAATAAGTTATTATGAATTTTTTGTCAATTTTCTCAATCAATTTTCTCAATCAATTTTAATCATTTTTTGTGTTCATATCATTTGAAGACCAATTCATTGAGAAAAATCATTATTTTTTGTAAATAAATTTATGAATTTAAGAGTTTATGTCATTTATATATGTATTGTATTATGAATTTTTTGTTTTTTTTTAATTATTTAAATACAAAATATATCAATATATTTAAATTTTTAACTAATATTACACTATTTTATATAAAATTTCTTATTATTATTATCAATTATACATATCTTTTAGTATTATAATTGTATTTCATGATTCACAAAAAAAAATTTAAGCTTAAAATTAAAATAATTTATAGTTTTTTGTGATACTTATATACAACTTACAAAAAGCCTTTTAAGTGCCATTTTTTGAAAATTATTTTTCTCGTAAATTTAATTAAAACTATTTACATTGCAAAGTAATTTATAAATCGTCAAACCGTGTAATAATTTTAATAAATTAAAGTTTTTTTTATACAAAACGGGCACAACTTGTATTTAAATATAATGTAATAAATATTGTAGCTAAAAATAGTTTTGCTAAAAATAAAATATACCAAAATAATTGTATTATAAGCTTATTAAAATAATAAATATTATTAATGATTATAACAATAAAATTAAAACTTTTATTAATTCAATTTATGTGAACCTTTTTTTGTAATATAGTTAAAATCAATTTTTAAATGTTTTGTTTTAATATACAAATAGTTAGCAAAATTGTATAGTTGTAGATATAGTTAAATGATAACAGTGCAAATAATTAATTTTTAAAATAAACCACATTTAAATTATATTTAAATAATCGATGCATTAATAGGTTATCAGTAAATAATTTAATTGATTTTGTATATAAAATGAAAAAATAATTTACTTATAATAAACACGGTTTATCTAATAAATACAAAATAAACTATACATAAATCATTAGAAACAATTTTAATGGGAAAAAATAAAAATATAAAATAGTCATAATCGTTATATTAAGTTTGTATTTACTTTATATATATATATTAACTAATTCATAAAGTTTGATAAAACATTAATATATATATTTATATATAACTGATTTTTTACACATACAATGAAAGATAATTTAATATTTATAATAATAATAATAGCCTTAAAAATGTAAAATATCTCGTAATATTCAATAATAATATTATAGTATTTTAAAACCAATAAAAATGATTTTTGTTTTGAATGTCATTTGATTTATATTAATAATAATAATAATATATATTTCTTTGTTAAGAATGGTCATCCATTGACTCCCGAAACCCAACAAAAAAACTCTTTTTAAAAAACTCTCCTATATTTATGGCTTAAATAAAATCTGGTCTATATTTATGTGGTCCTAATCTTTCCGGGAACATAGCTCTTATCGATGACTGGCTCCTGAAGAAACATGTGTAAACACTTCTCGTTTTGGGCCAATGGATGTCCGGCAACTTTGTTGATAAACTGTTCCAAACCTTTACGGCGATCCTCAATAAAGTCTTCCTCGAAGATACCTTCGTCGTTACGGAACGGCATCTGTCGTTTCCAGGCCTTACCGGGCAGTGGCGGTACCACTATCTTCGAGTCTCTTTCCAGTTCACTTCTTAACCATTCAAAATCACTATATCTTCGGCGAACACTCGACTCTTTTACTTTAAAAACTGGTAAATTGCTCTTCAATTGAGTAGTTTATCAAATGGGATATGAAATAATTAAAGTGATAATTAAAAAGAAAATAAATTCATTAGTCATCACATTATTTAGTATATATACTACAGTATACTATATTATATAAATACATAATTTTGTAATTTAAAATATTATATATAAATGCTAATCAAAACTACAATAAATAAATAAAATCTGTTAAAATCTATACAATGATAATAGTAATTACATCTAATTTTATGTCAGTGTATAAATTATATGCAACTTAAGTATATTAACAACAATGACAAACAATTCAATGGGTAAACACTTGTTGTCAAAAAAAAATCTCAACAATTTGTCAAATAAGTGCTAATAAATTAAAAAAATAATAATTTGCAATATAATCGATAGAAAAAATACTGAACCTCACGATAAATATTATAGATATAAAAAAAACTAATATAAAAAATCAGTCATAAAACATCACATTAATAAAAAGTCATAAATAAAAATTATATCACTATTTAATTAGAGATTATGATAATTATCAACAAACACGAAGATAACAATCCATTTATTAATAAATTGCATGAATTATATTTATAGCAATAAAGAAAAATAATAAATTGATCCATTGGGTGATATCAGCTTTAATATACTAAACATAATCCTAATTACCGGTAGTTTGTATGGATTATGTGACCAAAAAAAATATTTTGCCGAAATCAATACTTACTCTCATTCTGACCTCGTAATCGGTATATCTGTTTCGGGCGATGCCGTGTGTAATAGGGTTGACCACATCAATCTCCAAGAAGTTGGCCGGTATGGCGTACGCGTCGTCCAGTGTCTGCTTTTTGGTGGCCAACCGTCGAGTCGACTCTTGTGTCAGACCATCCGATGATATCATGATTGTGTGTTTATACCGAAAAATATTAGTTCAATGACCTCTGTTTTGAAAAACAGTTAGTGATTTGTCGGACAATTATTTATGTTATTACCAATAATGATGAAGAGGAGGAATGGGATGATCACCACTTGAGATGTGTCAGCAAACGATAGTGACGTATGACAGCGATGACCAACAAAAACAAAATCAAATAAAATATAAACAAATCTACTATAAGCTGGTCCTCGATGTCAGTGTCGTCGATGTCGGTGTTGGTGTCAATGGTCTCTATGTTTGTCTGTATCTGTCATCTACTTGAGTGGCGTGTCTTCAAATAAAAACTGATCAATCAATCAATTGAATCGACAGTATATGCAGTCAAATGGTTAACGCATTTAATACATACAAACACTATATTATTAAAGTAATGCATTTAATAGACAACTCCTCTACAACTAAACAATAGTAAACGTTTTCAAAACCATTTATATACCGACACTACTCTACACTACACTCACTGTAATGCTATTGAAATATATTTGGCGCACATTATTGATGGGTCAATGAATTAGTTGCGCATAATTTAAATCAATAAAATAGTTATTTTAATTGATTATTATTTTAAGTAACGTTAAACTTTATAAGGTTTAAAATTAATTAGTTTTTTTTAATTTATAATATACCAAAAAAATATATAACAATTTTTTTTTATTATCATTACGGTAAATGATTTTTATTATAAATGTAAATTTCAAAACAAAAATTACAAACAAAATATATATCATGTGTGTATAAACATATAAACATTTTTTTCTGAATTATCAGTAATTAATATAATATTTTCTAAATCAATGAACACAATTAGTTTCAAAACTAGACAATACAATTTATAAAAAAATATCAATTTATACAAATATAATGATTGGATATTGCTTTTCAAATAAAATATTTTCTTTTTGGTCAAAATATTAGCAAAAAATAAATGCTTTGTGAGAGTTATTAGATATAAAAAAGTGAATCAAATTTGTCTATTAATTGAATTAAAAACAAACAAACAAACAAAAAATGTCAAACATTATTATCAAATTATAATAATAGCAGTAATTAACAGTATATAACATATATAACAATATTTTTTCTTAAATCTTAAGTAATCAACCGTTAAATATAAATGACTTTTTTTAAAAAATGGCAAAATATGTGTCAGTGAAGTGTGAACTGATCGGTGGGAATATGTGGCCACCAATTGGACAATCAATTGACAACCATTTCAGTGGTATTGTTGTTGTTGTCACAGTTTGCCTGTTCAGCCAATTCACGATCGCTGTCCTGACGTAACATTATATACAGTTTCTCTTTAATCCATTCCTTAGTATACGGAACATAGGAATGGCTGGTCTTCTGGAAGACCAAAAAGTTTAGATCAGTTAAGTGATCGACAAATTCAAAGAGTTGGCTTAAATCGTAAAACAATTCAGTTTCGGTGGGAAACTGTTTCTTCATATGCTGTTCATACATATGGCACACACCTAAAGATAATCGTTGGACACAAAAAAATGTTCATTAAGTCATCAAATGAAGACATAAATGTCTGTTTCCTATAATTAAACTGACCTTCGAGTGCATCATTCAGACAATCGTAGTCTGTATAGCGTCGGGTCTCACCAGTGCTGGCCTGGACTAGTAGTATGACGTGAGTGGCCATAACTAGTGATGATAAAGAAGAAGAAGAGGAGGAATGGATCCGATAGAAGAAGTCAAGTCTACAATCAAATCAATGGTTACTTTGAAAGAGCGCTAAATATTTGTTTAATAAAAAGCTTTGAGAATTGAAATGCCGTTTTAAGAGTCATACAAAAATAACATAACTTTTAATGAGTTTTAAATGAAAACCCGTTTGAAAGTAACGAGTTGTTTGTTATGCTTAACAATAGACAACACATATGAGTTAATTTACCTAAAAATTAATTGTAATATTATATATGAATGATATGTTTTTACTTATACGAGATGGCGCTCAATGTTTGCATACATTTGAACGCAATTAACAGTTACTGTAAAACAGTGTTTATGTAATACAGTGTTGTATAGACTGTAATGTTATTGAATAGAGTTTTTAACATTAAAATTCACATACGATTCGAATGATTTTTTTCGGATATCGAATAGAATCGAATCGAATGCATACTTAATGTTATTATAGGCACTATTTATATGACTGTAGTGTGTATTGAGTGATGTAATCATTATTATTATAGACATCACTTGCAAACTGAAAGTGTGTTTCAATTAATTGTTTTGTAATTTGGGTTTAGATTTGTGTTTTCAAAACAAACAAATTTTAATTCAATTTTTTTTCGGCAATTAAATCGGTGACCAACCGATTGGTCAATGAATATGTTACGAGCGGCTGCTCAACGACTCGCCCGAGATTTAACAACACAAACATCGCATTCAACGCCAGATTTATCCCAAACTAAACGTCTGTATCACCAAAAGGTATGTCCATTTGATTTGATTAATCCAATAATGATTACCGGTTTTGTTGACCTGACTCTCGACCAGGTTATCGATCACTACGAAAATCCCCGTAACGTCGGCTCATTTGACAAAAGCGAAGAACGGGTTGGCACTGGTCTGGTCGGTGCACCAGCTTGTGGTGATGTTATGAAATTGCAGATCAAAGTGGATGAAAACGGTAAAATAGTTGACGCCAGGTTCAAGACGTTCGGGTGCGGATCGGCCATTGCCAGCAGTTCATTGGCCACCGAATGGGTCAAAGGCAAGACCATTGATGAAGCGTTGAAAATCAAGAACACAGTAATTGCTAAAGAGTTAAGTTTACCGCCGGTTAAGTTGCACTGTTCGATGCTGGCCGAGGACGCCATTAAGGCCGCACTGGCCGACTATAAGATTAAACAGAGTTCACTGGACGAAGCAAAGAGTGGTCGACAACAAGAAAACAAGTCGTCGACACAGTCTTCGGCTTAAGATTAGTCAATACAGTGAGTGTACGGCTCGGTGTTTAAGTGGCCGATTGATTGACTGATTATTTTTTTGTGTAAATTATAGTTTTAATAGTTTGTGAACTCAATTAGTGTTTTGTTTATCAGAGTCTCAAAAACTATCAAATAATAATAATTTGCTAATCATTTTGTGTTTATAATATTAATATACCGTATATTTTATGAGAGATTTAAAAAAATATTGAATTATTGAATTGAATTAAATGATTAAGTTGTTTATTATACAGTAATATACAATATTTTGTCAGAAATTATTATTACCGATAGTATTACTAATAAACACTCTGTTTAGTGATTTTTATTAATCTATACATTTGTAATAATTGATAAATAAACAGATAGTCTAATCTGTATAAAACAGTAATAAAGTTATTAATAGTAACAGAAAAGAGTGATTTGAAGTGTGTTTGAACTTTGCTATCATTTGTTGTATTTGTGTTTATTTTTATGCCATAATGTCTGACCCGAAATCCTCGTACTGGACCTCATTGTTTGTGTACATTGAACGACCAAATCTCATAAACAAACGTTTAATGGGTAGCCATGTCTTAAATTGTTGGCATATCAATGATAATCATAATAATAATAATATCATTGAACTTATGCGTATCAGTTCTCTTAGTGATATAAAACAACGACTCGAAGATTGTGTACAAATAAGTGACATTCAATTATCTCATTTGCTATCAATCGGTGGCCGCTTTCTGATTGTCAGACAATTGCTTTTAAAACAAAGTCTCAAACATTTATCACAAGACAGTCATAACGACAGTAATAAGGATGTGATTGACTATGTTTTAGTCGATATCTCAAATACTGAAACAGTTTTTATCTCATTTATATCCAATGATGACAAATGTCATGTAATACCAGAAAGTAGTCATAAGTTTTTGCTCAATGGGTTACAAGAAATTGAAATAAAATATTTGTTTGGCGACGAACCAAATATTTGGTTAAATGAAAAAGTTTTACCAAAATTACAGCAATGGATGCGTCAGGAGTTGGAGGGCAACCAAACTAGTGGTTCCCTGCAGTTAATTAGTGTCGACACATATTGTCTAACATATAATCGGCTGAAGAAAACATATGGCCAACCATTGGTAGAAATGTGGAAAAAGTATGAAACAACCGATCCGTTGAAGTTTGTCTTCGAAGACATAGCCATTGCATCGTATTTGATAGTGCTTTGGGAAGAAGAAAGACAACTAAAACAAACAGATGTTAAACAAAGTTTTGTGGACATTGGTTGTGGAAACGGTTTATTAGTATATTTGTTGACTAACGAAGGTTATAAAGGATTGGGCATTGATCTGAGGAAACGTAACATTTGGGACAAGTATGAGCCCAGAGTTGATTTGATGGAAAAAGTATTTACACCATCAGATGAATCGCTTAACTTTGATGGCTATGATTGGCTGATTGGTAATCACTCGGATGAGTTGACGCCATGGTTTGTATTATTATTATTATTATTATCAAAGAAATCTTACAGAAATAGAAAATTATTTATCAATTATGATTAGCTATCAATTCATGATATAGTTCAGCATTTTTTTTATATACCGGTAATTATTTATAAACTAATTGGTATTATCTTATGATAAAATTTTGATTACAAAACATTTGTAACTAACAGATAGCTAATTACATTACATTAATTAATATACAATTAGAATATTTAAATCAACAACAAATGCTATAATGCTATTGAATTAATGATAATAAATAATTATTTGTATATATACTGTATATTATTTTTAGGATACCATATATCGCATGCAACTGTTCCCCCAAAATGAATGTCTTTCTTCTGCCGTGTTGTCCATTTGACTTCAATGGCACTAAATATCAACGAACCGATTCCAGTCTTAGTCAATATCATTGTTATATAAAATATTTGCAAAAAGTTTGCCAAGAATTAGGATTTGTAACCAAAATAGATAAACTTCGTATTCCGTCCACAAAACGTACGTGTCTTGTATGCGACCGACGAAACTATGATTCGGGTAAAGAATCGGATATGAAAGTCAAGAGAAAGGCATTTATAAATGAAAAGATCAATGATTTTAATGATTATAAGCCTCGAGAAAAAGTAGAGACCGTTCGCAACTGTACTCGAGTTTCAAAAGATACCATCGAATCGATTGTCGACACAATTGCCAAACAACTAATCTCCGGAAATAATAGTCTAACTATTGCTTCGATATCTAAACTTTTGAACAAAGATTTGTTAAAGCAATTGAAGAGTCAATGCGGAGGACTTCAAACATTGCTTAGAAATCATAAACATATATTTGAAGGTATCATCAAATTTATTATTAATATCATAATAATGTAAAGTTTTGTTTTCCGATAACATGTGTACACTGTATATACAGGTATTTACAGTATATTTAATTTTAAACATAAAACGTGATTTCATATTACCTGTAAATATCATAATCTGTTTAAAACCAAATCTTGTGAACAAATATTTCTCAAAATTTTCTTTCTCTCAAAATTTTTGAAAATTTGTTTAATCAATGACTTAATGTGTTGAGTCATAGATTTTAATTTATGGTTTATTTGTACAGATATAACAAATAATTCAATGAATTATTCAATTAGTTTTTTATGAATTGAATTGTGTGAATCAAGTGGTGGTTTTAAGTAGACATTTACGAGTATTAGTCATATATTGTATATATTTAATGATATTATGCAATTTGAAGGTCATAATACTAATGCTAACTTTTTTTTATTAGTAATGTTTTTTATATATTTAATTTGTATGTAGGTTTATATAGAAACTCTCTCTCTCTCTCTCTCTCTCTCTCTCTCTCTCTCTCTCTCTCTCTCTCTCTCTCTCTCTCTCTTTAATAAGATAGCCATTAGTTTGAGCTAATTTTTCTTGTAATGGATTACATGTATATCCTATGGTGGGTGACACTATACAGTACACCTGTCCTTTCGATGACTAACCAAACCTCTTATCGTTTGACACAAACTCACTCTACCGTATATTTACCGCCAATTTTGGCCAAACATCTGTTTTTTTAGCGCTCATTAACTTTTAGGGTTATATACCAATGAATCACTAATTTAAATATATTGTTTCCTTTAACTTGAAAAAGTGCAGATTGTTTTGAGAAAAAAATCATTGAGGATTAATTTTATTATATAATCTATTGTTTCATATTTTAACTTTTGTATTACATTTGTCCGTTATGTATAAAATTTCATTTCTATAAATTGATAATTAATTATCAATTATTTATATGTATTTTATATAACTTAAAATCTACTTTTTTTTGTTTGTTTGAATATATTGTTTTTAAAACACCATGTTAAAATTATTACTTTACTATTAATTACAGTAATATATCATTAGAAAAATATGTAAAATCATATTTATTGTATTCAAATATTTTTTGTTTAATGCATGACATGAAAATACCAGTACATATATTAATAAATACAGTATACAGGTAAATTAATACACATACATTTAGCTGTTTAATAATTTAGCAAAAAAATATATTTTATATTACAAATTTTATTTTTTTAATTTGATATCTGTTTTTATTAAACTATAGTTATTTTAATTTTTTTAATACTTAAAAATTACTGATAGTTTTTAATATATTTTTTTTAAATTAATACTTTTCTTTCCGATAGTAAGCAACAGTTTAATTGGTTTCACTCAACCGAAGCCCATTGCAGAGACAATTGATGCAAATAAACACTTGAAGTCAAAGCAGTGTTGGTTTTTTCACAATCATCCTAATGGCTGTCCATTACCTGACGCCCAGTGCCGTTACAAACACTAGACAAATGATGTTTACTGTTATAATAGACTATTTGGGAAAATAACAACTTTAATGGACTATAAATTTTCTTTTATGTTACATATAAATAATATTTGTTTGCGGTATACAAAAACATTTGAAACATATGGCATACCTTTAGGCTATATATTTATGAGAGAAAAAGTAATGTCTTTATTACCTAAAGACAACATTCCTGACAATAATAATACATAATTCACTTTTTCATACCATAAAAACACTGTTTAAAATATCCGATTACTGACTCATCTTTTCAATAGATAACTCAAATAGTTTTGTGTTTACTGTTTAAGTACTATTTTTTTAAAAATAATTTTTCAAAATATTATTGTAAAAATATAGATACAGTACTATATTAATAGTTATAATTATGTTACTGTATATTTCTGGACAATGATATCACTAACAATTGATGTTTTGTCAATAATATTTTTTTTAGTAAAGTTAACAAAAAATTATTTATACTTTTTTGACAAACATAATGAATATTATTATTTGCAAATTTCCGGGAAATTCTTTGCGATTGCTTATAAATTTTTTATAATTATTTTTTAAAAAAAACTTTATTTTATTGGGGGAAATAGGAGATCTTTACACAAACACACACACATTATTTGCTTATTGAATTGTTTACAATGATTTATTATAATTCACACATTATATTAATTGTTAGTGGATTGACATGAAAATTATATTTGAATTAATAAAAAATAATGTTATTTTATTATTTGCATAATTTTAGGATATTTTACATGTACCGTAATTTTATCAATTTTAATAAATACTATTTTTTTGACAAGTAAAATAAAATTTATTTTTATTTTAAATATTTTTTCAAACAAATTTTTATAATAATTTATTTTCCCATATACTGTCATATTAATTTTGATTTATTTATTGTGTTTACTGTATATAAAATTAACAATAGTCCCATATAAGCATATTGTTTGAACTACTGTACTATTCAATGTATAAAATTTACATGAAAAACATGATTTTATTATTTGATTGTTATCATTGTTTTTTAATTGTTAGAGACTTTACCTGAATTTTTATTATTATTATTAATATTAAAAAATGGTTCAAAACTTATTTGTTTTTTCTTTATAAATTTATTTTTAATTAAAAAAAATATTTGATCTATATTTCAAAAATTTTAACTAATATGCTAAATAATTTGAACATATGATCGCATAGGATAGATAAGTGTTACAATTTGTCACCATTATGTTAGGTTAGCTGGATATTTTTGATTAATGAGGTTTAAAAATGTGCTACAAAAATAACATTTATGGTAAAAATATATATAACCAGTGTAACAGTATAGCAGCTATAGCTTATTTTTTTTTAAAAATACTTAAAAACAAATTATAAACAAAATTCATGAAATAGTTTGAATTTTTTGGCGACATTTATATTGTAATAAATATTATGTATTGTATACTGTATATCCTGCTGTGAGACAATATACATAATATATTTTTTTATTATAAAGGAAAGTTATCTCCAGGACTTAGTTACTAAAAAAAGATGGACATGTGTTTAGAGAGGATTTTTCTAACTTATTATTGTAGCGGAAAAAAGTATTGCCTAATATTTATACTGTTTATAACTTTTATATATATATACTTTATATTAGCGATGATGTAAACCCCCAACAATAGGTTTATTACATAAGTACTGATTGTATTACCGAATAAAATAAAAATAAAAGTGTAGTCGTGTTGTTAATATTATAAGTATTATACACTTATAACTACTAGTGATGTAGTTTTTTGGGGCGTTAGACAAGTGGTTGCATTGAAACACAACTAAGCGCTAACTATGCGAATATCAAACACCATTGCACTGACAAACACATACATACCGTAGACAGACACACATCTGGCACTTGTATTATATAATATATTATTACATATAACTTGTCGAACAAAAAACCTAATAAGAGTTTTATTATTAAAAAACTTATTTTTTTAATAATATAAATTTTTTGTTAATTATTTTATATTTTAATTGTGAAAACTTAGTATTAGTATTAATAATAATACGATGGCATCAAATAGGGCCGAAAAAGCGGGTTTCGCTGCCGAAGCACACTCTAAGGTAAGAGCCGTCATATATAAAAAAAATACCACAAATTGTAATTTAAAACTTTTAACAAAATTACTTAAAAATACTAATATATATTTGAGTAAATTATATGTTTATTGCCAATAATTTTATTGCACTCTATATTTTATTAGTCTATTTATGGTAGTATATCATATAACTATTATTTTATATTATTATGTAGCTAATTATTTTTATTAAATTTGTAAATTTTAAGTCAAGGAAATAATTTTATTAGTTTATGCTTTTATTTTCTATAATATTTTTATTAACTTAAGTTAAATAATTATTTTTTGACAGTTAATTACTTTATTATAAATTAAGATATAAGAATATATAAATGGAATTTGAGAGTTTTAATTAAATATTTTATAGAAAATAATTAATATTATAATTAATTTAGTTATTAATTAATTTAAAATTGAATTTTAATACTTATATTAATAAAAGTAGATTTTAAAAAATTACAAATTTAATAGTTTTTATTTATTGAATAATACAATATATATTACAATTAACAGAGTTATTGTGTTATATAACACATATTGAAAGCATTGTTACATTGTTTGAACAATTATTGTAAATTAAACCAAAAGTTTTTTTTTTGATGAGAATTGAGTCCTTGATTTTAGCGCTGAATTTATGATCAGTTATGAAGACAAAGGAGTAAAAAAAATCGCTATTTATTTGTTAGCTGTGAAACATAGGGCTTATTATTATTATTATTATTAATACATATTTTTTATTTTGCGTTAGAATTACTCCAATCTTGATATATCATTATAAGAAAATAAAAAAACTAAATAATTAATATCAAGCAAACTGCTAAAGTCAAGCCCACTAAATATTTTTATGACTCATATCTATAGCAATTTATAACAATTTTTTTGTTTATTTTTTTTTGTTGAAAAACTGCTTGATAAAAATTACTTGCTTAAAATTATTAATAATAAGTGTATTAAATTACTATATATTTTTAAAAATATTTTCCGATAACATAAAGTTTTTTTTGTTAAAATATTTAAGAAAGTTTATGTATTATAGTTATATTACACAGATTATGAAATAATTATTTATAATTAGTAAAACATTTATTATATTTATTAAATAACAAAGTGTTTACTAACAGAAAGTTTTTACAAATATTTGGTAAAATTTGCTGATATTTTATTTAATATGTTTCAAGTATTTTTTATTTGACACTTTATTGATATATTTGTTTGATATGATTTTGAAATAAAAATTTTTAGAAAATATTTTATTTGTTTAGAAAAAAACAGAATATTTTATGTTATATACAGTGTTTTTATTTTAGTTTATAACAAACTGATAAATATGTCAATCATGACATTTGTGTAATATTATGATAATAAAAATACTTTTTGTTTTATCTTTAATTTACTAGTATTCAATTATATCATTAAAAATATTTTTAACAGTTAAGATGATAAATGTTATCAATTTAGTATTTACTTATCATAAAAATGTATATCCTCAATGAACCAGATACTTTATTTTATTACAAATTTAATTAATGATTCTAATTAAAAATCATGAATTCAATTTAATTAAATGTCATTAATATGAATATTAAATTAGCTAATAAATAATGTAAGCAATTATTAATATATGAATTATATATAAAAACAATATATTTATTTATTTTGTTTGATAATACACTAAAACAATAACTATTATAACTTATAATTCATAAGATGTTATAAAATTGCATTTTTTACATTTGACTTAATATTTAGCTATTATTATTATTATTATTATTATTATTATTATTATTATTATATTTTTGTAAAATAATTTATTAAACGATTGTTAATTACTCTATTGTTTACTAATTGAGTAAAATTTATGTATGAAACGTACATTTATGGGAATTTGGATCATAACGATAGTAATCTCTGATTTATAACTATATATCATATTTAATATCAAACTTAATTTATTTACAAAAAAAATATGTTAATTAGAAAATATGAATTTAATATTGTATTAAATATTAAATTATTAAATTTAAAATTAAAGTAATTAAAAATTCAGTAAAATATTTAGTAAAATACTATATAAATTCTCATTCATACAGTAATAATCTATTTTATTTAAGATATTTAATACTTTAATATTATTGTTATCATTAAAAATACAATTTATGTATTAATATTTCAATGACTTATAAAGAATTAAGGATATTATGAATAAAAAAATTAACGGAAAAGTAGTTTTATCGTATTATATATTAATGGTAAATATTTTTTTAACGATAAAATGATTTCATATTAACATAGTTGTCGTTTGAAATAATTATTAGATTTGTGATAAATATTATCAATAACAACAAAAACTAAGTAATAATATTATTATTAAATTTGTAATATTTTTGTTTTTTTATAAATTAGATAAACTCCAAATATGATCCACAATTGTCTCATGAGATACTCGAGTGGATCAAAGATCTTCTCAATGAAGATATCGATACCAACGGCGAAAAAGATGCCTTTTATGAGACACTTAAAGATGGGACAGTACTTTGTCGGTAAGGACTATATATTTATAATATAATAATAGTATAACTCATATAATATTTTTACTAAATTACTATACAATGAAATTAATTATTGAAATTTAATTAATTATAATATTTTTTTGGTGATATCCTCTTAGATTGATTAATGCCATCAAACCGGATAGCATTAAGAAAGTGAACGCATCGAAGATGGCATTCAAATGTATGGAAAACATACAGTTTTTCTTAGACGGCGCCCAAAAGATAGGCGTTCCCGCCGAAGAACAATTCCAGACTATAGACCTCTGGGAACAGCAAAACTTGACTTCCGTTCAGATTTGTTTGCAATCGTTAGGCCGAAAAGTGTCTAAATTTGGTGTCCGCGGTATCGGTCCCAAAGAATCGGCGGCCAATGTCAGAAACTTTAGCGATGAACAACTCAAAGCCGGACAGGGAGTCATTGGCCTACAGTACGGATCCAATAAGGGAGCCAATCAAAGTGGTATCAACTTTGGAAATACTCGGCACATGTAAACAGCATAATACATACCCTTCTCATTGATCCACACAAAAATTAATCAAAATATAAACCATTTAAACGCCTTCTAATAAAAAAATCAAAATTATTTCAAGTTTCATGACATGAAAAAAATTGTAATTAAATATATTCTGAACAAGTTTTTTAAAAATTTAATTATTAATCCATGAATTCAATTTTTTATACAACAATTTATGTATAAAAAATTAATATTACAAATTGTACGGTATTTTACAGATTATTTTTGTATGAAAAAAATTACAAATAATTATTTTTATATTTCTTAAATCTCCAATTTTATAAACTATATATATTATATTTATATTTTTAAATAAAATAAAATAATGTACAAAATCTACACACTTTTTTGTATCTTATCTGTATTAGCCATTATTTTATCAAAATTTTTAATAATATTAAATTGTGACCAAATTTGTAGTAGTTTTGTTGTTTCAATTAAAAAAAAATTATTGTAATATCAATATTTCTTTGCAATATCAAAAACTATGTACCGGTAATACAATTAAACCTTGATAATTTTAATATCAATTAATAAAATTAAAAATATTTTTTGTTGTATGTAACTTTAATGAAACTAATTAATTAAATAAATTATTTATTTTTATAATACTTGTAGTTTATATATTAATTAATAGTCTATCAATTTATTAAGTTTATATAAGCCTAGTGTCGATAAAATTATGTAATGTTTATCAAACAGTAGGCTCTATGACATAGACTTCATGTATTAGTTGAGAAAAACATACAATAATAGCAAACACGTGATAACATAATAATGTTATACATATTATAATGAAAACAATTACTTATTGATTGTATTTATATTTATTATAATTAGTTTGTAAATTGCAATCCTTGTAATCACCGAAAAGAGCGTCAAATTGTTGGTCAACGGCTATGTTATCCTTTAAATTATTTGGACGTTTGTGTCACACATCGGGAACATCGCGAACCATTCCATTGATGATGCAATGCAGTGCCCGAATGGCCAGCACTGACTCACCGATGGCTACATTGCGACGACGGACGGGCTATGCGTTCAGTTTGTGTCGACAAGCACTGGAACTTCACGGCCAAGACCTGACCCGAGCTGAACAATGGCTGAAAGCCGAAGCGGCCAAACAAGGTTGGGAACGGGCACAGCGTGTGGCACAGAGAGCTACCGGTGATGGACTGGTCGGTGTGCTGACCCAAACGTCTACTACTACTGGTCAGACGCCATTGGCCGCTATGATTGAGGTAAATTGTGAGACTGACTTTGTGGCCCGCAATGAATTGTTTAGCCAATTAACAACTCGTTTGTGTCACCAATTGGCTAACCGTTACGCTACTACTGGTGCTACACAACACACTGATACCGATACATTGGTTAGTCGAGTCAGATTGAGTTTAGATCAGTTGTTACAATTGTCACCCGAACTAGTAGTCGAAGCCATCGGCAAATTAGGCGAAAATATACGGTTAACCAAAGCTTGTCTAATAAGCGCCGGTAGTTTAAATGAACCCGACGTACATCTAATTGGTTATACTCATGCAGTCGGAGGTAAAGCCCAATCAGGTAACGAAGCGGCCATTGAAACCATATTGAATGATAAATCGGGAGCTATCGTACAATTGGGAAAGTATGGAGCGATTGTTGTTTTAAAATGCCATAAATTAGTCAATGAATCGGGCGATGATGTAACCAAAAGTGATGCCGAAATACAAGAGATCGGTAAACAACTCGCACAACATATTATTGGCTTAAAGCCCAAAACTATTGAAGCCGTGGCGCGGGTTAAAAGTGAGACAACAACTGATAATACAGAGTTAGGACCGGAGGCTTACGATATGGACGGCAGTCGCGAATCAGAGGCACTTCTTGAGCAACAGTTTATCTTTGATGAAGACCTAACTGTTGGCCAATATCTGAAGGACCATAACATTAAAGTTTTAGATTTTGTGCGCTACGAGTGCGGTATTGAGGACTGACACAACTTTTACCATTAATTTCGACACAACTATTGACTATTAATATATTAATTTTTTTTATTTTAGAGTCAAATCATACAAAATTGTATACATTTATTAATAATAGTGTTTTAATTGTAATTTTATATATCATTTATAGATATATTAAAAGAATTGTAATCATAATTTTTTATGTGTATTTCAATACTTGTTTTATTTGCTTTACAACACTCATATGGCTTAACATTATTATGAATATTCATATGAAAACTGCCGTAAGTTTTCTCTTATCCCTGAATTGTTTGTCACACTCGGCTAAAGACATGGAAACCGTTTGACTCCCGTATGAACTTCCATGTATTGGTTTGTCTACCGAAACATTCACACCACGAAATATATAGTCTATAATTAGTTTACGGTAATTAAAAAATAATTTATTTCAAAACAAATGTGATAATCATTGTTTTTGGTGCACTTGTTTCATATGTTTAAGTATATTTGGATTATTTGCGCTTCTGTAGTCACATCCTGGCCAACGACACTGATATGGCTTAACATTATTGTGAATATTCATATGATTTTGTAGAGCAGTCGAACTCCTAAACCGTTTACCACATTGTGGCCAAAGACATTCATGACGTCTCAATCCGGTATGTACTTCCATATGAGTGGTCAGTCTATTACCGAAATAGTCACATCCGGGCCAAACGCACCGTTTCTTATACAAAACGATTACCCGTTTATATTTATGTACTAACTTTCGGTGTCTATACCTTTCTCTTTCATTAAAAAACTTTTCCAAACATCCCTTTACTGAACACTTAAGTGTCGGTTCACTTTTATGTTGCGCCATATGTACAGTCAATTGAGTCCTATTTCTGAATTGTCGGTGACATCCATCAAAATCACATCTAACTAATGTATTTGTATGGATCAGTAGGTGTTGGTTGAGATTATTCTTTGTTTTTAATGATTTATTACATCCACTTATCGGACAAATAAATGAATTACTGATAATATTTAAATGTTTATTATTCACGTGTTGTTTCAGTTGGCTATTGAATAAACATTTAAACTGACAGTCCGTGTAATGACATTTCAATTTCTTTGTTTTGTCCATTTCGTGGTACAGTTTCTCGTGTTTCCAAAGAGCACTTATAACAGCAAACATTTTGTCGCAGTTCTCGTAACGACAGTTTAATTTTCTTGTAATCTTATCATAAATATATTTCTTATTGATATTCTTCGACGGTTTACAAGAGTTGCAATGCGTTAAAAACTTTTTTGAATTGTTAAAAGATTTGTGACAATTATTTTGTGGACAAATATATGAATCAGTTGTTGAGTCATAACATTCATTATTTGTATTCAGCTCTTCAGTTTCAAACCCACTATCATCTCGAGCTGATCCAATTTTACATAAATTAAGACCTGATCTGGTCTTTGATCTATAAAATTGACAATCATTATCACAGGCTTTCTGATCCACGATATGACTGTTCTCTTCAATCTCCTTATCCTTCAATTGAATCTCATTTTTCATAACTTCTTGCAATTGTTTGAACTCATGTTTGTCTTCTCTATCGATATGTTCTTCATATTTGTCAAACAATTTCAACAAAATTGTCTTAAATTTGTTGGCAAACAATAACTCTTTGAGAAGTCGTTTGTTTTCACTCCACAATTGATCCAAAATGTCATCAATTGTCACAACCATTGATGTCATCATTCATTCAATACATTCATTCAATAAATTATTTTAATTTGTAATACAATTGCTATTCAATTGACTAATAATTTGTTTGTCATTTAACTAACACTTCAATCATATGTTTTGTTTGTTTGTAAACATTGACAGTAAGGGACTGTCAGTTCATTGAAATCTCAACTTTTAGTTATTTTTATAAATTTATGTTAAATTATGTAATACAGTGTTTAATATATCATATAATATATTAATATACTGTAGTATATTATACCGTATGATAACTACTTTAATATAAAATTAATAAAATATTTTAGTATTTATTAGTTAATTCTTATATTTTGTATTATTAAATATAAAAATATGATTTTTTACATTGTTTTTGTTCATATTGTTGAACACAATTGTTAGTACACTTCATTAGTGACTATTTATTAAATAAACAAATATAATAATAATAATTCAATAGATTTTTAATTGAAACTTACATTTAATTTCTTGTTAACTTATAAAACATAGTATACATTGTATATGTCATTAATTATAATACTTGTTTGTGAACTTGTTTCATATGTATCCAAACATTTGAATGATGAGCGCATCGGTAGTCACATCCCGGCCAACGACACGCATATGGTTTGACATTATTATGAATATTCATGTGTTGTTTAAGTCTTCCCTTATCCCGGAACCGTTTGCCACACTGTGGCCAAAGACATGGATACCGTTTCTCTCCCGTATGAACCTGCAAATGACTAGTCAGACTTCTACCGTAATAGTCACATCCGGGCCAAACACACCGTCTCATAGGATATACGATTACCCGTTTATAGTTATGTACTAACTTTCGGTGTCTATACCTTTCTTTTTCATTGAAAAACTTATCCAAACATCCCTTTACTGAACACCCGAGTGTCGGTTCACTCCTATGTTCAGCCATATGTACACTCAATTGAGTATCATTTCTGAACTGTCTTCGACAGCCATCAAACTGACATTTAATTATTGTATTTGTATGGATCAGTAAGTGTTGTTCAAGATTTTTCTCTAATTTTAATGATTTATTACATCCACTAATTGGACAAATAAATGGCTTAACATTTGAATGTCTATTCATATGGAGTTTCAATTGGTAATTGTGTAGACATTCAAACTTACAGTCCGTGTACTGACACTTCAATTTGTTTGTTGTATCAAATTCATGGTATAATCTTTCGTGACTACGTCTTGCACTCTTTGCGTAATACATTTTGTCGCAGCCATCGTAACGACACTTTAATATCTCTTTTTTATTGTAAATCTTCTTATTTTTCATCGACTGTTTATTTCGCCGACAAGTCTTTAAATTAATATCATTAGACGCTATTTCATGTGCTTTCTTCAGATGATTAGTAAATGGTTTTAAATACTTAAAAGATTTGTGACAATCATTTTCTGGACAAATGTATGAATTGGTTGTCGAGTCAAAGCATTTATTATTTTTATAAATTATATTTTTTACACTTTTATTATTACTATTAATATAATTGTCGACACCTTTTGGACTACACTTCTTTGCCATCAATTCTTTATTTCGTAAATTACTTAATCTTTTAGCATTTCTGGTCTTAGTTTCGACAAATTTAGATGAATTCAAGATTTTTGCATCACTTTCATCGATACATTTACTTTCACTTTTAACAACATGTGTGTCTTTTTCATACTCTTCATCACTACATTTGATCCCATTATCGTTTGTCTCTTGTGTTATACAAATGCTATCTTTTGTATTATTTGTGTAACAATTTAATAAATGGTTTTCATTTTCATCGATTGTTTTATTTAGTCTTTGACTGCAAATATAATTCAATTGATGTCTTAATTGGTTAAACTTATCTTCGGTTTTAAGTTTTATTTCAAACTTATTGTAAATCAAATTCAATTCAGTTTTCAATTCATCCAAAATATTCAGACATTTGTTGGCAAACAATAACTCTTTGAGAAGCCGTTTGTTTTCAGTCATCAATTGATCCAAAATGTCATCAATTGTCACAACCATTGATGTCATCTTTAAATATCACATTAATTATAATCACAATTCAATACAATTTAATTAATTGCATTCAATAAATGATTTTAATTTGTAATACAATTGACATTCAATTGACTAATAATTTGTTTGTCAGTTAAATAACACTTTAATCATATGTTTTGTTTGTTTGTAAACATTGACAGTAAGGGACTGTCAATACATTGAAATCTCAACTTTTTTTTTAAATATTAATAGTTTTTTAATATCTAAAATTTAGTTAATAAATATATACATAATAATTATTGTATAATAAGTGCTCATTAAATAAAATAATAATTAATAAGTTGTTTGATTATTGTAAACATTTATACGAATTTGTGCAAAACTTTTAAAATAAATAATTTAAAAATTACGCCAAATTAAAAAAATTTATTATAAATAATTATATGCCTTTCTCAGAGTCATCGATATAGTCTAATATCTTAAATTTATATATCATTTTCATATAAAATAATCTTCAAAACACAGTGAGGTGTGAGCTATGCCATCGACTATCATAAAAATCAATACTAAATGTTCTGTCTCATTACCATGCTAACTTATATTAATTTAAATTCTACCAATTGGTAATAAAATTATATTTTCATTTTTATAATTATTTTATTAGCATTTATTATATCATTAAGATAACAAATTTTAAAAAAATATTTAACAACTTTATAAATATAAAATTCATAATTTTTGGTGCACTTGTTTCATATGTTTTCTAATATTTGATTGATGAGCGCATCGGAAGTCACATCCTGGCCAACGACACGCATACGGCTTATTATTTTTATGAATATTCATGTGTTGTTCGAGTTTATATTTTGTCCGAAACTGTTTACCACATTGTGGCCAAAGACATACATATTTTTTGACACCGGTATGTACTGTCTTATGTTCGGTCAGGGCTTTACCAAAATAGTCACATCCGGGCCAATCGCACTTCCGTTTTACTGATTTGTATTTTACGCGCTGTTTGTTATGAACTGACACCCGGTGTCTAAATATCTCGCTATCGGTAAAGAACTTTTCATCGCATCCATCGACAGGACATTGAAGTGTCGGTTCATTCATATGTATAGCCAAATGTCGTTTTAACTTATAATGAGTTCTGAAGTTTCGCTTACAGTCCGGAAAATCACAATTTAATACTATATTCTTGTGAATCAATAAATGCGTTTCCAATGAAGACTTAGATTTTAATGCTTTTTTACATCCATTTATCGGACAAATAAATGTCTTAACGTCAGAATGTCTGCTATTGAGATGTATTTTCATTTGGCATTCGTGTTGACATTGAAACTGACAGTCCGTGTGCTGACAATTCAACCATTTTGTTGTCTGTCTTTCGTTCAGTTTTCAATTCATCCAAAATATTCAGACATTTGTTGGCAAACAATAACTCTTTGACGAGTCGTTTGTTTTCAGTCATCAATTGATCCAAAATTTCATCAATTGTCACAACTATTGATGTCATCTTTAAATATCACATTAATTGTAATCACAATTCAATAAAATTATTATTTAATTCAATGAATGAAATGACAAATAACTTCAATAATAGTCAATACATTGCAACACATATTCGCCTTATTTTAAGATTTGTTTACAAACATTATTACATAATAAGGGATTGTCTCCAAAATATAATAACTAATAATATTAATTAAAATATTTAATTAAAACTGATTGCCGGTAATTAATATAATATATAGTATTGATATATATTGAATGAAATTAATTTGTTAAATTTATCCTATTATTTAATGATAATTTTATTAGTCTTTATTTATTTTGCTTTAAAACAATTGTTTTATCAAATATAGTTTATTAATATATCATATAATAATATTAATTCTTAATAAAAATGGATTCAATATATTTTTAAATATATTTTTCATATGGCAAAAGATAATCAAATTGTGTAACTAATTTTAAAATTTATTTCAAGAAAATTTGTCAAAATAATAAATAAATAAATAATTTATCAATTCTTTATTTCTATAAAACTTTTTAAATAATATACAATATAGTACTACTAATATACAGTAGAATATAATAATAATAAAATCATTATTTTTGGTGCACTTGTTTCATATGTTTGTTAATATTTGAATGAGAAGCGCATCGGTAGTCACATCCTGGCCAACGACAAGCATACGGTTTAACATTATTATGAATATTCATGTGATCCGTGAGTTTATGATTAGATGTAAACCGTTTGCTACATTGTGGCCAAAGACAGGCAAATTGTTTGACTCCCGTATGAACTAACTTATGGCTGGAAATTGATTTACCAAAATAGTCACATCCGGGCCAATCACATTGTTTATTAATTGCTGGCTTTTTTTTCTTTATCTTATTGTGAACCAACACTCCGTGTCTAACCATTTGATTGTCTGAAAAGAACATTTCCAGACATCCCTTAACTGAACATTTGAGTGTCGGTTCACTTTTATGTTGAGACATATGTCTCTTTAAATGGGATTCATTTCTGAACTGTCGCTGACATCCATCGAATTGACATTTAATTACAAAATTTTTATGAATTAGTGAATGCTTTTGAAACGATTCCTTAGATTTTAATGCTTTATTACATCCACTTATGGGACAAACAAATGGTTTGACAACAGAATGTTTTCTATTCAAATGTATTTTCATTTGGTTGTCGTGAATGCATTCAAACTGACAATCCTTTTGTTGACATTTCATTAATGTCTGTCTTTCGTGATAATACCTCTCATGCATTCGTCGACCACTTCTTGCAGCGTAACTCTTGAAACAATTGTCATAACGACACAAATATTTTCCATTTATGTCGTAATTTCTCTTATAAATCGATTTATTTGGTTTACATGTCTTCTTGTGTAACAAAAATTTCTTTAAATCTTTAATAGATTTGTGACAATCGTTTTGCGGACAAATATATGTATCAGTTCTCAAATCATAGTATTCCTCATTTGGAGATAAGTCTTGTTTTACACATTTATTAATACTTTTGTTGACATCTTTTAAGTATTCCTTCTTTGACAAGACTTCTTCATTTAAACCATCACTTTGTTTGTGTGAATCACATAATTTCTGTTCATTTATAATGTTATTATCATCAAAATCAGATGAAATCGATGTCTGGCAATCAGTTTCTTCTTTACATTTGATCCAATTATCACTTGTCTCTTGTGTTATACAAATGCTATTTTTTCCATTATTTGTGTAACAATTTAATGAATTATCGTTTTCATCGATTGCTTTATTTAGTTTTTGACTACATATGTAATTCAATTGATGTCTTAATTGGTTAAATTTATCTTCGGTTTTAAGTTTTATTTCAAACTTATTGTAAATCAAATTCAATTCAGTTTTCAATTCATCCAAAATATTCAGACATTTGTTGGCAAACAATAACTCTTTGACGAGTCGTTTGTTTTCAGTCATCAATTGATCCAAAATTTCATCAATTGTCACAACTATTGATGTCATCTTTAAATATCACATTAATTGTAATCACAATTCAATAAAATTATTATTTAATTCAATGAATGAAATGACAAATAACTTCAATAATAGTCAATACATTGCAACACATATTCGCCTTATTTTAAGATTTGTTTACAAACATTATTACATAATAAGGGATTGTCTCCAAAATATAATAACTAATAATATTAATTAAAATATTTAATTAAAACTGATTGCCGGTAATTAATATAATATATAGTATTGATATATATTGAATGAAATTAATTTGTTAAATTTATCCTATTATTTAATGATAATTTTATTAGTCTTTATTTATTTTGCTTTAAAACAATTGTTTTATCAAATATAGTTTATTAATATATCATATAATAATATTAATTCTTAATAAAAATGGATTCAATATATTTTTAAATATATTTTTCATATGGCAAAAGATAATCAAATTGTGTAACTAATTTTAAAATTTATTTCAAGAAAATTTGTCAAAATAATAAATAAATAAATAATTTATCAATTCTTTATTTCTATAAAACTTTTTAAATAATATACAATATAGTACTACTAATATACAGTAGAATATAATAATAATAAAATCATTATTTTTGGTGCACTTGTTTCATATGTTTGTTAATATTTGAATGAGAAGCGCATCGGTAGTCACATCCTGGCCAACGACAAGCATACGGTTTAACATTATTATGAATATTCATGTGATCCGTGAGTTTATGATTAGATGTAAACCGTTTGCTACATTGTGGCCAAAGACAGGCAAATTGTTTGACTCCCGTATGAACTAACTTATGGCTGGAAATTGATTTACCAAAATAGTCACATCCGGGCCAATCACATTGTTTATTAATTGCTGGCTTTTTTTTCTTTATCTTATTGTGAACCAACACTCCGTGTCTAACCATTTGATTGTCTGAAAAGAACATTTCCAGACATCCCTTAACTGAACATTTGAGTGTCGGTTCACTTTTATGTTGAGACATATGTCTCTTTAAATGGGATTCATTTCTGAACTGTCGCTGACATCCATCGAATTGACATTTAATTACAAAATTTTTATGAATTAGTGAATGCTTTTGAAACGATTCCTTAGATTTTAATGCTTTATTACATCCACTTATGGGACAAACAAATGGTTTGACAACAGAATGTTTTCTATTCAAATGTATTTTCATTTGGTTGTCGTGAATGCATTCAAACTGACAATCCTTTTGTTGACATTTCATTAATGTCTGTCTTTCGTGATAATACCTCTCATGCATTCGTCGACCACTTCTTGCAGCGTAAGTCTTGAAACAATTGTCGTAACGACACAAATATTTGCCATTTATATCGTAATAATTTCTCTTATAAATCGATTTATTTGGTTTACATGTCTTCTTGTGTAACAAAAATTTCTTTAAATCTTTGATACATTTGTGACAATCATTTTGCGGACAAATAAATGAATTGGTTATCGAGTCATAGTATTGTTGTTTTATATCACTTTCATCAATAACTTTACGTTTTACGGCTTTGTGTGCTTTCTTTTGATGAAAAGTTAAAGATTTTAAATATTTAAATGATTTTTGACAATCATTTTGCGGACAAATATATGTATCAGTTGTCGAATCGTAGTATTCATTCTTTGACAAGACTTCTTCATTTAAACCATCGCTTTGTTTGTGTGAATCACATAATTTCTGTTCATTTATTATGTTATTAACGACAAAATCAGATGAATTTATTGATTCATGATTTTGTGTATCAGTTTTAATGACATCGATGTCTTTACTTTCATTGTCATCAAAATGTGTGTCCTCTGAATACTTCTTATCTATGCATTTGATCCTATTATTAATGTCTTCCTGTCTGTCAATCAACTGATTGTAATGTTTTGCATAGTTTGTGTCATATCTTAATAATTGGTTATTATTTTCAACAAATGTCTTGTCGTGTCTTTGATTGAAAATATAATTTAATTGATGTCTTAATTGGTTAAACTTGTCTTCAGTGTTGAGTTGTGTCTCAAACTTCTTGTAAATCAAATTCAATTCTGTTTTCAATTCATCCAAAATATTCAGACATTTGTTGGCAAACAATAACTCTTTGAGAAGTCGTTTGTTTTCACTCCACAACTGATCAAAAATGTCATCAATTGTCACAACCATTGATGTCATCATTCATTCAATACATTCATTCAATAAATTGTTTTAATTTGTAATACAATTGACATTCAATTGACTAATAATTTGTTTGTTATTTAAATAACACTTCAATCATATGTTTTGTTTGTTTGAAAACATTGACAGTAAGGGACTGTCAATACATTGAAATCACAATCTTTTAAATTATTGTTTTCTATTTATTAATTAAAAATAACTAAAATATTATTTTTTAAAACTGTAAATTAATTACAATATAATCAAGATTTTCATATTTGAGTCAATTTTACCCTTTATATCCACATATTAATATATTTTTAAATATTATATTAACAAAACTATTGTAATAAAATACTATCTGTAAGTCAACTAACTTTAAAAGTTTATTGACAGACAATTCGGTTATTCACTATTAATAGCATATATTAAATAAAAATATACAAAAATAACCAAGATAATATAAATAGATATTATTTTTTATTATAACAAAAATCACAGTTTTTGGTGAATTTGTTTCATATGTTTAATAACATTTGAATTATTAGCGCACCGATACTCACATCCCGGCCAACGACATACATATGGTTTAAGATTATTGTGAACATTCATATGAAATCTAAGTCTTCCCGAATCCCTAAACCGTTTACCACAATGTGGCCAAAGACATGGATACCGTCTCTCTCCCGTATGAATTTCCATATGAGTGGACACATTTTGACCAAAATAGTCACATCCGGGCCAAACACACCGTTTCTTTGTATTAAACCTTTTTCGCTTAAAATTATGAATTATTCTTCGATGTCTTTGTCTCTCTGATTCTGTAAAAAACTTTTCCACACATCCTTTCGCTGAACAGGTAAGTGTCGGCACACTCTTGTGTTGAGCCTTGTGTTGATTCAATATTTTTTTACATCTAAACCGTCGCTGACAGCCATCAAAATCACAGCTAATTAAGGTATTTGTGTGGATAAGTGAATGTCTTTGTAACGAATCCTTTGATTTCAATGCTTTATTACATCCACTGATAGGACAAACAAATGTCTTGACATTCAAGTGTTTAACATTAATATGTGACAACATTTTGCTATCAGTGAAAGTCTCAAACTGACAGTCAATGTACTGACATTTCAACCATTTTGTTGATTCTCTCTCGTGATATGTCCTCTCATGATATCTGAGTCCAGCCATTGTACTAATCATTTTGTCGCAGCCATTATAACGACATTTATATTTTCGACTTTTCTTATCGTAAATCATTTTCATGAAAATTCTTTCCTTTGGTTTACATGTCTTGCGATGAATAAAAAATTTCTTCAAATTATCAAAAGATTTGTAACAATTAATTTGCGGACAATTATATAAATTGGTTGTCGAGTCATAGTATTCATCACTTGAATTCAATTTTTCAATTTTGATACAATTATCACCAATTAGTTGGTTATCTTCAACTGAGACTACTTTAGTGTTAATATTTGATCTAATCTTTGATATCCTATTCTGTCTGTTATTTTCATTAAATTTATTGATATTAATATCCACGATATGACTGTCCTCTTCAATCTCCTTATCCTTCAATTGAATCTCTTCTTCTAATTGCTTGAACTCATGTTTGTCTTCTCCATCAATATATTCTTCATATTTGATAAACAGTTTCATCAAAAATATCTTCAATTTGTTGGCAAACAATAACTCTTTAAGAAGTCGTTTGTTTTCACTCCACAATTGATCCAAAATGTCATCAATTGTCACAACCATTGATGTCATCATTCAATATATTCATACAATCACTCAATGAATGTAATGTAAATTATATAACTATATGTAGTGATGTACCGATTGGAAAATGCGCAATTGTTTTGCTCGGAAATTGCGTAAAATTGCAATTGTAACATAGATCAATTTATAATTTTTAAAAATTAACAAAATTTAAATGGTAAAACAATATGAATAAAAACATAAATTAATTATATAAAATTTAATTATTTTATCATAAAATGTTGCCATCTAAAAACCATATAAAAATAATAATTTTTGTATTTAAAATTTATTTAAACTAAACTTTATTATTATTATTATTATTAATTGTGATTTTATAAGAGCGTACTTTATATTGTGCTTTAAGACAACCGTAAATATGGGACTTTTATATATGAGTCTAAATGATTATAAGTGGTTTCTGCATATTAAGACTTAATGCGGTAATCAAAATTGAATTGCGAAAAATTACTAACACTGATGATCCATATTAACATATATGATGATCCATATTAACATATATGATGATCCATATTAACATATATGATGATCCATATTAACATATATGATGATCCATATTAACATATATGATGATCCATATTAACATATATGATGATCCATATTAACATATATGATGATCCATATTAAAAAATAAAACTAAATTAATTTTTTGTATTAAATTTTATTCTTTATTCATTCAAAATTATATATCATTTTATAACAATTTTTATAAAATTTTTATTTCAGTGTTTGCATCTCAAATGCTTTCTGACACCTGATGCATATTTGAATCTAAGAAAGCATGACGATCCATTATCATACATCGAAATGCACACGAACTCCCATTCAAACTTTTCAATGTGCTCTTTGAATGACTGTGCTTTAGGCCAAGAGAGAGTGCAGTCATTAAGATTATGACGATCCTTACACACATAAAAGCGTGTTCCCGGAGGCTTAGCGTTTTGTGCCTTAATACCAAGCAATTCCCGAAATCTCCTAAACTCGTACTGTATACCAGTAGGTATATGTATCTGTATTGTCATAAAAAATAAAAATAAAATAAGATCTTCACAAAAAATGGATCGTCACTTACAGCTACGACCAGATAATCCAATGCATCCGAATTGACTAAATTATCAAACTCTGGACTTCGTATATCAGTAGATATAACAAACTAAAAAAGGATTATTACATTAATTAATAAAGTTTTTGTTCGTCATTTACCTCATTTATTTCCGGCGTATTATTATCTTGAGGTCGACCACTGACTAACTCCTAAAAAACATATGATTATAACTAATGGATCTTTACATTGATATGTACTCAATGAAGATCCATAACTAAGTGAAGATCTATACTTATATTTTGATCATCACTTTGTTATGGATCTTCATTTTATCAGGTCTTACGTCTATATTATCTTCATTTCCTGAGACGAAACGCTTCATTTCAGACACATCTTCTCTAACGTCTTCTTCGTCTTCATTATCTTTAACTCTGGTCAGTAAAACACGCGGACAAGTGTCCAGTTGTTTCAGTTGTGCATCAGATATAACTTCGGTGTCGATATAGACGCAGCCGTCGGGAGTCATAATCTTTTTGAAAGTGTTTGGACATACATATGGTTTGCTATGATGTCTGACATTACGGTTAACACGTGACGAATGCATTACTACTCGTGTTTTTAATCAAAATTTGTTTAATAATTATATCAATTAATTGAAATACTGATTAAAATAGCGATTCAAACGGTTTGAGTTGAATGAGAGCTTTGATGTCATCAATAGTTTTTTGAAATAACATTCAACGCGTTTAATGTCACGTGATTTGTAAACATAATTCAATTCAACACTAAAAATCAATTCAAATATTTGTTTCAATATTCATAAATCTAATACTTAGGGGCGGAGTCTTTATACGGTATAGTTATTATACACACTTCAGTATATTTTATGTATATATTAAGTGTAAACTATGTATTTGTTATGCGTTTACTATTGTTTTGGTTTAGCATAAATTGAGACAATTTTTAAACAAACATTTCAATCATATTTTTAATTTGTTTATAAACATTGACTTTAAATGTGGGGAACTTTACTTCATTTAGAAATTAGAGTTATTAATAAATAAAAAAAAATATTATTAATAAATAAAAAAAAATATTATTAATAAAAATCATTTTAATATTAAATAAATTGGTAAAATACAAATAAAATTATTGTAATTATTATTTTAATGAAGGTATGAAAAAATCAATTCAAAACCTTTTGGTTAATTTGTTTTATATGTTTAACCAAATTATTAGTATATATATTATAACAACTTATAATTTATAAAAAAATATAATTAATAACTATTTGTTTGATACTTATAGAATGTAAACATTGAATTCAATTTGTATTTAACTATATCACTACTAAAATGTGCATGCTAAAAAAATATAATATTTATTATAGAAATGCCAAATTAAATTTACAGTAATTATATAAATTAAAACTATATTTTAAAATATTTTATAACCATTTCTATCAAAAATTATCTTTAAAACAAAGATAATAACAACTAATAAAATTGTCTTTTATTTTTATATTTATGATATCTTTAAGATAACTAATAAAAATTTTTATTAATAAAAACTTAAATAAATAAATTTATAATTTTTGGTGCACTTGTTTCATATGTTTGCTAATATTTGATTGATGAGCGCATCGGTATTCACATCCCGGCCAACGACAAGCAAATGGTTTAAAATTATTATGAATATTCATATGTAGATCGAGTTTATATTTAGTCCGAAACTGTTTACCACATTGTGGCCAAAGACATACATATTTTTTGACACCGGTATGTACTGTCTTATGATCAGTCAGTGCTTTACCAAAATAGTCACATCCGGGCCAATCGCACTTTCGCTTAACTGATTTATATTTTACTCGCTGTTTGTTATGAACTAATATCCGGTGTCTAAATATCTCGCTGTCGGTAAAGAACTTTTCATCGCATCCATCGACAGGACATTGAAGTGTCGGTTCATTCATATGTATAGCCAAATGTCGTTTTAACTTATGATGAGTTCTGAATTTTCGCTTACAATCGGGGAAATCACAACTGACAGCAATGTTGTTGTGAACCATTAGATGCAATTCCAATGAATTCTTGGATTTCAATGCTTTATTACATCCACTAATCGGACATTTAAATGATTTGATGTCTGAATGTTTATAATAGACGTGACTTTTCATTTGACATCTGGTAAGACAATCAAACTGGCAGTCAGTGTACTCGCATTTAAACCACTTTGTTCTGTCCGTCTCATGACTACTGATTTCATGACATCTCACACCACTCTTACTGTTAAACTTTTTGTCGCAGTCATTGTAACGACACATCAATAGTCCTGTTTGTCTATCATATACTTGTTTCTTATGCTTCAGATTTACTATCTTTTTTGTCACACACTTCTTCCGGTGCGTTAGAAATATTTTCAAAGATTTGTAAGATTTTTCACAATTAATTTGCGGACAATTATACAAATTGGTTGTCGAGTCATAGTATTCTTGTTTAGCATTAATTTCTTCATCAGTTTCATTGATATTTTCTTTGCGCTTAACTTCTTGTGATTTCTCAATGTTTTTAAGAATTTTTTTCTTTGATTTACAAGTCTTTCGGTGCAATGAAAATGTCTTCAATTTATCAAAAGATTTGTGACAATCATTTTGTGGACAAATGTATGAATTGATTGTCGAGTCATAGCATTCTTCACTTGTACTCAAAATCTCTTCATTTTTGAGACCTTTATCATCAATTGTGTGGTCATCTCGAGCTGATTCTACTTTACTGATACTATGACCCGATCTGGTCTTTGATTGATAACTTTGAGAATCATTTTCTCTGGATTTCTGATCGACGACATGACTGACATCTTTATACTCATTATCTTTCAAATGAATCCCATTTTTCATCAATTCTTGCAATAATTTAAACTCATGTTTGTCTTCTCCATCAATATATTCTTCATATTTAATAAACAGTTTCAACAAAAATATTTTCAATTTGTTGGCAAAAAATAACTCTTTGAGTAGTCGTTTGTTTTCATTTATTAATTGATCCAAAATGTCATCAATTGTCACAACCATTGATGTCATTATTCAATGTATTCATACAATCACTCAATGATTGTAAATATAATTCAAATTCAATTCAATACTAAAAATCAATTCAAATATTTATCTTAATATTCATAACAAACACTTCAATCATATGTTTTGTTTGTATGTAAACATAGACTGTAAGGGACTGTCTGTTACAGCTATAATAATCTCCAATCATTAAAAATTGGCTAAACTTTCATTAATTAACAGTAAATTCATAAAATACTTAATGTATGAATTAGTAAATTAAAACAATAATATTTTAATATATTTTTATTTATTTATTTTTAATAATCAATCTTAAAAACTACAATTTAATATGAAATTTTCTATAATACAATTACCGTAGATATTCATACAATACACTACAATAAAAATAATTTTTTTTTAATGTGTCCAAAATGTTTTGTCCGACACTTAAATGACTATTTTTGTTGTCCAACTAAACCATTCATTCATTATCTCTTGAAATCACTTTCTTTGATTTTCTTAGCCGTTCCTCATTCTGTCGGAACAACGACTGAACACTAGGCCTAAGCATCGGTGGTTTGTGTTCATCATCGAGTGTACAAACATAATCATCGGCCACTTTATTGGTCTTTTCGGTAAAATGTACTTTCATTATATCGGTGTCCATTCGTACCGATTTGTGAATCTCGTTGATGAGCAGCGGAGGTACGTCCAAGTGATACACAAAATAGCTGTCAAATACAAGACAATCAAAATCAACATCAGTTGACAGTTAATCGGTAATAACGACTTAATGGCCGTACTTTCCCGTAGTCTGTGCCTTCTGTCCGGGAATTTTTGAACTGATTTTATGCGGCAAACCTCTGGTCCCTAAGTTCTCAATCTTTCTTAAGATACCATTAGAGTTGAGTATGAGTTCGCCAGTCCTCTTAAGACATGATTTTAAATCAGTCTTTATTTTCATAAAAGAAAAAACAATTATTATTTATTAGACAATCATTATCATCAGCGGGTAGTAGTGATGGTCATCGAGAGTAAATATCCGACAAACAGAAAAATTGATCATTGATTTACTTACTCTATTGAGTCTTCTTGTAATGAATATCAGCTCAAATCCTGGCATATTGTTTGATCGTTTCAAATGTCTAATGTCTTATAGTAGTTGTTTCTGTGGGATCTTATTGTCAATCGATGTCCAAACTTATGGATAATTTAACTTAAAATTTAAATTTCAAACTACAGTACAGTGTGTTGTCAAACATTGAATCACATGTTAGTTATTATATCAATACTGTATTTACTATTTGTCACGTTATTTGTGAATGAATTCAATTCATTGTAATTTTAATTTATTAATATTTATTTTATTTTCAATATTTGACAAAAAAATATTTTATTTTATTTTAATAATATATTTTCATATTTGATAATAATTTTTTAGATACATTTATTCCCAGAGAAATTATAATTAAAAAAAAAATAATTCAAACAAATTTACATAAAAATAAGTAATAAAAATATATATAATTTAGTTTTAATGCAATATTAAACTTATATATATATATATAAAATTAGGGAAAATATTCAATCTCTTCTTCGAGTGTCTTATTGTCGACAAAGTTGGCAAAAGTGATGTCACCGGTGAATGCCTTATGGCTTCTCACGTGAACATACTGGCCATCACTTACCCGCACCTAAACAATTCAATTCAATTAATTTAATTTAAATATATAAAAATAATATAACAATTACTGTATTAATGACTAACTTTGATAAAATAATTGATACCATTGACCACTTGGGTCTTGAATGAGACGGGTGTGAATTCAGTGAATGACTTTCCAGATTTATCCTCCACTTGTTTGCGGATCTATTGATGAAAACAACAACAAAAATAATAATAAATTGATTGATATATCATTATTCATTAAATTTATTTTCTCTATAAAATGAATTTCTAAAATATTCCTATTATATACAGTATCCTATGCTAACAATAATTATGATAATAAATGTTTTTTTTTTTAAATCATTGATAATATACTGTAGTTGTGATCAGACCTGTTGGCAAATGTCGTGGACATTATCATCCGGAACTTTACTATCACCAACACCTCCAACTTTAGCCATCATTATTAGTAGTTATGATCTGAAACTTATTTATTAATTGTATTAATTAAATAAATTTTAATTTATAATGTCATATACACTGGTAATATAATATATGGCTAAATAATGTATGAGTAATACAGTAATAGTCTAGACTCTAGACTTTTTTTGAATCAATAGTTTACATATACACTATTAATCATCCAATCAGCCAATAGATGATTAAATTCAAGTTAAATGTCTGATTAATTATTTTTATAACTAATTTATTAGTTTATTACTATTAATTGATTAATAATTAAAATTAATAATTTACAGTACTGTACAATCACTATGCAGTACACAATATAGAGGTATTTTCAATTGAGAAAAAAGGGTACAAAAGTAATGTTTGGTATGTAGCATAATTTACTACATTTTCTCTTTCTATATATGTCCGTAATTTTGTGCCATTTTTATTTTATATGATATAAAAATATTTATGCTTTAGTTTTCACATAGTTTTATACAATAATTATTTGGTTTCACTCTATTTAATACAACTTAACAATTAATGTCATTGTTTTTCTGCATAAAACTAAAATACCAAATAAGTGTAAATGTTATATAAGTTATCATAAAAATTAATCTAATATAAATAATTTATGTTTATTTTAGTAGTACTACAGTACATATACTGTATTATATTTGTGTGTTATATTAATATAATTTATATTACACTTATCCGTCACACAATGGGTGTGTTAGCTAAATTTATAGTACTGTATGTAAGTGCGCACAGTTAGTTTATTTAGGCCCATTCATACACTAAACTATTAGGATAAACAAGTGACGAAACTACCGGTGACATAACTTTCCCTGATATACAGTATATCATACAATACTGTTGTTTATTAAATAACTTTTTTTAGTGTCGGTATTTTAAAACAGACATTTGCACTGAATATATGATTGATTAAAATACAGATATTTCAAAAATGATATTATCTTTTATATATAAATCCATTTATAGACATTTGATAACATATTTTGTTTTTGTCTTTTTTTTTTGTTGTCAAATAATTGTGTGTTATTTGATAGTATAGGAAAAATATTTATCATTTGATATTATTTGATATTGTTTTTGTTATTTGCCATTAAATACCATAATTAATATTAAATTATTGCAATATGATAGGGAGCGGCATATATATTTTTATTTATATACATAATATTTTTTAAAAAGCGTGTATCATATTTTTACCAAAAATTATTTACTACTAATGTTTGACATAAATTGTTTTTGTTTTTTGATAAAATATTTTGTTATATAACTTACATAATTACATAATATTTTCACATACCTGTACTATATAAATATTTTTACTATTTTATAATACTGTATTTAGTTACTATAGTTATTGAAAATTAATTATTTTTATAATCACAAATTGTTGAATAAAATTTTTATTATTTTTTAGATATCAATTATCTTAATGTTTACCTTTAAGTTATAAGACATTGAAATGATGTGATGTAAGCTTGAAATTTGATTTTACTTTTTTTGGATGATTTAATAGATAAACAATTTTATTTATAAAATATAATATCTGGTATTTATTAATATAATTATTAATAATGACTTTATATAAATATTTGAATAAATATTTAAAAACATTTACAATAACTTTATTACAGTATTATTAATAATATCAAACAATTCATAATCATGAAAAAAACAGATGACTAATAATTTATTACAAATACATGCGTTTGTAATCTAATAAAAAAACATTAATAAAAAAAAATAAAAAAACTTTTTATTAATATGAAAAATAATAACAAACAGTTGTATTGATTTCATAACATATTATTAGTTTTGACTTGAAATTATCAGAGGAAGTGATGGCACCCCTTAAACAAGATATCAATGAATATCGGATGTGTGGGTGTAATAACTTAATGCCGGTGTCACTGTCTTACACACACACACACAGTATGAGTCACTATGACTACTACTACTACCGGCGGTTCGTTGTCCGATCAGGTATTGGTATACTACCGCCCAAAACGGTCACATGTTTCGAGTTGAGTAGCATAACAGCTGAGTAGATATCAATAGGACCCGAAAGTAACAGTTTTGAGCCGACGGGCGTCGCAATGGACAGACTGTCGATCGGCTTGTATTCAATGGCTTTACACTGAGTGATGCCGTCGCTCAGTATCATTGACAAAACTCGGGCACCTTTTTTGGTCATCACTTTCTTTGGTTTAGCTTTTTGACGCTTAAACATAGTCGACGACCGATTTTCCGAGTCTTCATCAGAGTTTTCCGAACTCAGATCGTCATCCAAAGCGTCTGTTTCTGATAAAATTTTCGGTCGACTAATGTCTTCAATCGAGTTGATCTAAATTGTCGTATACTTTAATAAATATCATATCAATTGGTTGGCGCGATTGCCGGTAAGTTATCGGTGGACACTCACTTGGACAGCATATTTGTTATTGATTGTCATCTTAACTGGTTTTCGGTTTGAATTATCCAGTTTTATTTGACTACAATCGGTGGGTAACTGTGACACGGGACTGGTTTGGCCAATATCGGTGTTCAGCCACTGTTGATATACCATTTCGTTGGTCACATCCGTGTTTGCGGTCAACACAGTGGTCAACCATTGGTCAGATACGGCTATAAATCGTTTCTTGAGATACTCTTTAAGTGGTTGTAGTCTTATGGTATTGACAACGGCTGACATGATTTTGCCGGTCAATTGTCATTCAATGGTTAGGGAATTATCATTGAAATACCATTGTGTTTGTGGTGTATATGCTGTGCGTATTTGCTAACAGATGGACAGCCTATCGGATGGGTGAGTGCCTCACTGTGTGTGTGTATGTGTCATGTATTGGGGCACAAGTATGTGGAAAACAGGTTCTCCTCAAAGCGCTTATCATATCATGAGAAAGCACTGGTAGGATAAATGTTTGCCACAACTATTGGCAATAGTTATGGAGTGTTGTGTTTCAAGTGTATGACTGACTGGTGTAATAAGCACTGGTATATACAGTGAGAGAGCCATTGCCAGCACTTGTCATAAGCATTGGCTGCCAATAGACTTAATATACACACAAAGTAAGAGACAATACAGTGAACACTGTTTGCAGAAATCAATGCATTTGTCGGACACAACAATCCTATAGTGTGTGTACTACTAAACAGTACCTAAAAAATAATAATATAAACCAATAGTGCCTTCAAATGTTACAATTAAATGACAACAAGTGATGACCACAACAAGTGTGTGCTAACAGTGCTTTTAATAGTAATCAGTGGCCTTACATATGTGTGATAGACATCATCGACAATAGGAGTGACACAACAGCATCAACAACAACAACACATACTTGTGCGCCATGGATGACATGGATAAGCGTGTTGTGCAGGAAAGGGATCACACGGAGCACAGGCAACACTTGGTTCGGCTAATTAATGAGTGGAACGCCAACCGAGTCGACCTGTTTTCCATATCGGAGCCCAACGATGCTCTTGAATTTCACGGTGTGATGCGCTACTACTTCCAGGACGCGGGCGCCAAAGTGGCCACCAAATGTATACGCGTAGCGTCCACTGCCACCTCCCGTGATGTGATCAACATACTTATAGAAAAATTTCGGCCCGACATCCGAATGTTGTCGGTTCCCGAATACGGTCTCTACGAAGTGCACGAAAACGGCGACGAACGCAAACTAGCCGAAGAAGAGCTGCCACTACTCGTGCAACTCAATTGGCATCGCGATGACCGCGAAGGCCGCTTTCTGTTGCGCCGTATGAACGACCGAACCTGTTTGCCCGGCATCGGCAGTGCCGGCGACGAGAATAAGTTTAAACGAAAACTATCGAAACGCGAGAAAAAGGAGCAAAAGAAACGCGAGAAACAGCTTAAGGCCAAAGGCGGGGATAATAAAGACGGCGATAATAAGGACTCATTAGCCGAAAAACTTTACACCGAAATGCCTGAGACGAGCTTTACCCGCAGTATTAGTAATCCCGAAGCCGTTATGAGACGACGCAGACAACAAAAACTCGAGAAGAAGTTACAACAATACAGTCAAGAAGGAGGTGTCGAAGCAGGTCAGTACCTATCAGTCATGTCCAGTAGTGATGGTTGTGGTAGTAATGGTGACGTAGTGTCACACATACACCACAACCCATATCTTCTTGACATTATTTGTGACATTTATTTCTGTCAATTGTTTGCCAACCGATTTGGGTTGTCATCCAAATGTTGTTTCTTGAGATTTATATAGTAATGTTATATTGAAATATATTGTGTTTTCTTCGTTTAGGCGGCACTTTAAGGATATTCGGTGAGTCCATAAACCCGGACGTGCCATACAAAACAATATTGTTGTCCGATCGCGACACCGCTTCACACGCCGTCAAAGAGATATTGGAAAAGTACGGCAAAGAAAAAGAAGATCCAAACGTTTACTGTTTGGTTCAGCTAATTGTTCCCGTATCTAACGGTGACGTTAACTCGATTGCCGATTTGCACAATTCGGCCGGTATTCGGGAGTATATATTGGATGACGACGACTGTCCACTATCTATTGAAAAGGCGCACAACAAGGCCAGAGGTGTCCTAACGTTTCACATACGCCGGCGACCAGCCGACTATCAGCCGCGTAAGAAAAAGAAGAAACCAAAACAAATCAAAGGCGAAATGGAGGCCGGATTTACCAAATATGATGAGTCGCTCGAAAAGCTACCCTATCTGGTAGAGACCAATCCCGATGGCAGTGAAATTACCAAAGGAATGCCTAAAAAACACTACTTATACGTCAATATGACTGAAGTGGGCAGCGAAAGGTCCAGTTCGACAAACCACGTTCCGTCACAGTGTCTACAACTGTATGGACCCAATGTCCAGGCAAGACATTGTGTTATTGCTCACACCGAAGGCATTGTTACCGTTACGCCCAGCAGTAGAGATGCCGAGACTTATGTAAACGGCATCAGAATTTACGAGACAACTATCTTAAGACACGGTATGCTCGTCAGATTTGGAAAAATACATACATTTAAGTTTATTGATCCGCTTGAGGATCAATCTAGACAATTGTCACCATCTCTCATGAGAGGTACCGTTCATGGAAGTCTTAGAAAGATGCCCGAAGACATTAGATTAGCGGCACCGCATTCGCGCGGCAGCTATGAAACCACTTTTGACGCCGACGGTAACGTCGAGACCACTTCGTTGACATCGAGAGACGAAAGACTATCGAAAAAATCTGATGAACCGATTGGCGCTATGAATGGACGACCAATGATGGGAAACGGGGTCGTCATCGGTGGAGATAGTAGTCAACAATCATTGACCAACAGTGTTAGTACTATGCGAAAAGGTACTGATCCTATATTGCCAGCCATACTGGAGCTCTGGCAGGAACGTGAGGACGCATTCCTTAATCAAATTATAAATCTTATTGATCCCAATGGAGTGCAATTCAAACTGTCCGTCACCTATACAAGTGAGTACTTAATACATAACATATATACTGTATATACACATAGAAACTAATATATAACATATACTCTTCCCCTAAAATTATTGCTATCTCTTAACACATCATTTACATTGCGTTCAAGCATTTCATTTGAAATCTAATTTTATCACTCAATTTACTCTTTGAATTGCTTGTTGTAATTTGATTACCAGTTTGTTGTTGTGGTATAGGTTTTTGGCCATAAATTGAGATAATTACTCATTTGTTTGTCTTTTATATTATATATACATATCATTTATATATACCAGATATGCACAGTGTATTCATTATAATTTTTAATACAAATATACAATATTTTTGTTTTAATTAGATTATATCCAAAAAATTTTAGTTAAAATATTTATCGCTTTTAACTTTATTTTTATAGCAATTTAGGCAAAGTTGATATAAATACGTGAAAATGTCTAAAGTGTTGTTTAAATCAAATTGACTGTTTATTCAGTGATATGTATAGTAATAAAGTGACAGTAGATTTTCATATGAGAGGGAGGTTAACATTTTTCACATAAAATTGTGTTTATATAAACACCAGTTTTCAAAAGGAATTTAATTTTCATTTCAATGAAAATGAAAACTATTTTAAAATTTATATACATATATATCATGTGTAATATATATATATATTTATTTATATACAGTTATATTATACGTATATATATTGGTGTTTGTTTACAGTTATATGTGAAACGTGTTATTGTTATTATTCAAAGTGGTTTCAAAGTTTAGTTTTTTCTAGAGTTTCAATTTGGACTCTTTGAGAGCTGTATTTATATATATATTTGAAAAATACCAGTATTTTCAATGCTATGTATATAATAAATAAAATTACTGTAAATGTTGTGCTCGGCTTTAATCGATAAGACTATAAATTTACTTTTTATATATGTATATACAGTATATATTTTAACTATAAGTCTATCGTATTACTATTTTTTTATTATTAAATATATAAAACGTGAACTTTTTATTTTGATTAAATCAAAATGCATGCACTTACTGATGCTGATCCCACAGATTTATTCATGTATTAAATAGTATTACTCTAGTATTATGTCACCCATAGAGAGAGACTTGGCTTTGGCTACCTGAGCTATATCTAACTCCTCTCTCTCTCACACACAGACAAACAAAATTGTTGACTACTAATGCTTTTAGATTAAGTATCCCATAACTAGTGTGCCGTATCGCCTAAATGAATGCATATTCATGTATAATAAAAGTTTTATGTAGTTTTTTAGTAGTGATTTTAGACTTATAGTAAATTTATATTGATTAGCAATTAAATCTATAATATCTATCCTTTTTTTAATAGTTTACATGGCTTTCCGGTTCAGAGCGTCGACACATTTTAAGCCCGAAATAACACCAGAAGAAAGAGCTCATCGGTTGACATCATTTGCTAATAAAGTGGCGAATCTTATTCATCGCGTGATTGAAGATCGTTATCACGAGCCATCACACCTGGCCTTTTGGTTGGCCAACTCATCCGAGTTGTTGCACTTTCTCAAACAGGACAAACACTTGAGTGCTTTTACTTTTGATGCACAGGACATACTGGCCGAAGCTGTTCAGTTTGCTTTCCGGAGTCTAGTTATATGCGAACACTCGGAACTGCAGACAGCACTTCCAGCCATACTCGAAGATTGTGATGACAGTGTCGACGACAATGTAACAGTAACCACATCTAAGCTACTTATCATACTGTCCAATGCCATGGGTTTACTTCGCCGGTGTCGAGTGAATGCCGCTCTAACTATACAACTATTTTCGCAACTTTTTCATTACATCAATATGTGGTTGTTTAACAAAGTTATCGGTTGTACCGACTCTACTGTCAACTACTGTACCCGTGTTTGGGCGCAACGAATTCGCAAACGACTTATTCAAATGCGTGTATGGGCTGAAAAACAGGGCCTCGAATTGGCCGCCGATTGTCATCTTAACTGTATTGTCCAAACGGCACATTTACTTCAATCACCCAAAAGTAATCCCGAAGATATCACTGCGATATCTGAGAAGTGCTCTAAATTGAATTCATTACAAATGCGGCAAATTCTTGAACGCTATGAACCATCTGCTAATGAACCCCCAATTCCTCGGGAAATGATTGAGGCATTGGTTAAAGTGGCTGAAGTGGCCGATGAGATGGCCAGACAAGAAGGCAGAGATGTTCAACTCGAAGAGGAGCCTGATCTTCAATTACCGTTTTTATTGCCCGAAGATGGATACTCGTGTGAAATTGTTTCGGGCATTCCGTCGGGTCTAATAGAATTTGTCCAACCAATGGTTCAGATGGGACTCTGTCAGGTGACAGTTCAGCCGACATCATGCGGTGATTGGACGATATATATGATGTCTATACAAAGTAGTCCTAAAATTAGAGAACTACATCCACCCAATGTTGGACCCGAAACTCAAACTGATAGTGGGCCTGGACCTACACAACCGCCATCAATGTCAACGGCACCCATGTCTATGACATCATCTTTACTTATGACACAACCAACACTTGCTTCTTCTCAAGGACCACCGCCGCCACACTTACAAATGCAAATGGGTCCGCCATCAACCCGTGGATCCACTGCATCAGCTTTTAGTGAGCCTGAAGTCCAACTGTTAAAACTACAGAAAAGCAATAACGGTATGGGATTAAGCATAGTTGCGGCCAGAGGTGTGACCCAATCACAGGACCGGCTGGGCATCTATATTAAATCAGTGGTTAAGGGCGGTGCAGCTGATTTGGTAAGTATTGAGAGATCAATATTTTATTACTTTTTAAATCCTCAACAATAAAAATAGTTTTATATTGAATTTTAATGCTATCTTATTATTTAGTGATTTGAATTGATTTTAAGCTATTAAAAGCATTTTAATATCATAGCTAACACTAAGTTATTGGTTTACTAATTGATAGGACGGACGCTTGAAAGCGGGCGACCAATTGCTAAAAGTGGACGGCAATTCACTGATAGGCATAACCCAAGAACGTGCCGCTGAATTAATGACCCAAACCGGGCCAATCGTAACACTGGAGGTCGCAAAACAGGGAGCAATATATCACGGACTGGCAGGCATTCTGGCACAACCCTCGCCATCCATAGCAAGAGGTACTGTAGTCTTAAAATAATTTATAAATATTTTTGGGTATATAAAGGGAATGCCATTCATTTTGATCAATTGGTTTACGAAAGATTTTTGTTATATTTTTTTGAATTGTTTATTTGTTTGTCGATGTGATTATCTATGCACTAGAAAATCACGATATATCGATAATAATTTCACTAATTTTGTTTTAATGGACACAACAATTTGTTTTTGTTAATTTAAAGATAATTTGATTAATTTTTGTTGTTGTTTRGATTGCTTTTGGTTTAACAAAACTATTTTGATTATACTTTAATTGTGTTTATTTAAAGTTACAATCATTAAGAAGTTTTTTGCTGTTTTAGTGTATTAGCAAAAAAAATTGTTTTGTTTGTTTTCTGATGCAATGAATAAGTATAGTAATTGAATAATTTATCTCAAATTGTTATCTATTGTTATATAACTAGTTGTGTACTGTTTTTCTACTCCCTGTGCTCTCCCTATCTCTCTTTCTTTCCTAACTTTCCATTTGTCCACTCTATCTCTGTCTATATCTTTTTTGGGTAATGGATTAGCCTCTTCAACACCATTATCGCCAGCACATACTAAATACCAATTGATTAATAATAATGATTGCAATGATGTCGAGTGTAAGCATTTGCTGAAGAATTACTCAAGTCTTGAATCATTGGTTAACATTGCGTATAATTATTGCAACCAAATTGAACTAAACTCTGATCAAACTCTGTGTGTGTCCAATATATTTGATGATCAACTAAATGATGATCTATTGTTGTCTAATGAGAATCAAATGGATACAAATAATTGGGAGAATATTCAGACATTAGATCGACAGTCTTCCAGAGCTAAGAAACAGATGTCTACCGATGAATGCGCGACACCAAAGAAGATGGGATCGACATCTCATGCCTTAACGTACATTAAAAGTGCACTATTTATGCAATTGCGACAAAAATTGTCAAATTATAAGAAGCCGTGCCATAATAAGCGACCGGTGCCACAGTCCAAGTCAATGATACTGACAAATACTGCTAACTATAGCAATAAAAACAAATGTGATTATAAATGTTTTTGTGATAATCAAACTAATCGATTGACAGTTCCAATAGGGAAGGGTATGTCAAACATGCTATTGTTTAAATGCCTGAGTGATGAGTCGCTAAATTCCAACCCCAATAGCATCTGTTCCTGTATTAGCAACTGTTCCCTATGTAATGAAATATTCAATAACTGTCGCATATGTCAACAAATAAGCAAATATTATGCCAATTCATTAAAAGTGAAATCCAATGAACTGTTCAATAATCGGAAGTCATATCTCATTGATGTGTCGCTCAATCAAATATCTTTGGCAAAGTGTGACTGTGTCTCATGTATGCCCTCCTCGTCATCGACTAACAGTTCCTCTGTATGCACACAAAACACTAACCGATCGGATGAAGCGCTTAATTGTTATAGTAATTATAATCACAATAATGATAATAATAATGCAAACAACAAAAACAACACTAATGTCATGATTTCTGGTATTTCTTTCTTTTCTTTGATTAATATCTTTTTGTAACTTTTCTTAACTTTAAAAACCTGTTATCTATTGTTTTGATGATTTTGATTGTCGTTTTTTATTCATTAATTATTTTTTGCGGTTTGTATAATAGTAGTAGTAATAGTCATAACATTAGCTATTTTGTATGTTTTTGTTGTTTTTGATTATTTTTATAATACCTAATCATTTAATTTGTTTCTTTTTTTGTTTCAAAATAATATTGTGATTGCAATCTCATTGAGAAAGAGAGATAGATATATTTAATACAAATGGTTTTTACAATTAAATACAAAACTAATTTATAAAATATAATTTAAGACTTGAAAAAAAATTTGTTTTGCGCTAAAAATCTTGTTTTTCATGATTTTTGATTCGTTTCGTTTGCCTAACTGTTTTTGGTCTTTAATTTTTTTTGATTGCATTTTTTAAATAATTCAATTATTTTATCATTTATTATGAGATTATAAAATCTTTTTTCTCTTTTATATGAATGCATTAAATATTTTTTGTTTTTGTTTTTTTCTGCTGTTATGCACTCATAACTGCCACTTATATATCGTGAATATTACAAGTATTAAAGTATTAAGCAAACAAATTGTTTTACATCCCATTCCTCATTTTTTTAATACTATTACCCCCTCCAGGCTATGGAAATCCGCGTCGAATGAGTGAACGCGATATACCGAGTCGAGTAAATCACGAACAGGAGCTCCAGATGCGGGCCCACAGAAACAATATGAATGCCAGTGCACAACACCTACAGCACCAACAACAACAGTCCCGCATACAGGCGTCCAAAAGTGTGCCAACACTTGTCGATGGTGGCCCAATGACCCAATCTAACGGTGGTGTACCGCCTCCACCGTCTGTACTTCAACAGCACCGTCGCATAGCCAATGAAATTCCGCCGCCCTATTCAGGACCGCCAACGCACCCACAATTCAATTCAATGCCAAAGTCTATGTCCGAGTTTAACTCGGGGCGAACTAATGAAATGCGAAACTATGGCACACATCACCCGATCGGCAACTATAACACTATCGGTGCTAACTATAGTCCATCCCGTCCCGACTCTCAACTTAGTATTCATTCACAACAGCGAATGTCTCAATCGCAACAACTGTATCCCGAGGAACGACACTACCAGAACATACAGTTATACCAAATAAATCCCAAACCATCTCCTAATTCAGCCCCACAACGCATACCGATGCATAGCTCTCATCAATCACTTCAAGCCGATGGCCAACAGTATGCTACGCAAAATGCGAGACCAATCTCTGCACACGTAGCTATTCGTGATAGCGATCAATATATCGGTCAAATGCCAAACAGTCCGACTACGCCTACTTCTCCGCGACCGCCGTTAGGAATGAATCCCAATATGATGACCACTGGCGATCATTTTCAATACTCACAGCAACAATACCCCAACCAAGGAATGGGAGGCCGAGTGGACTATAATGAAACCCAGCCAATTATTGAGTACCCGTCACGAAACTATCCGCCACCACATCCACCGTATGGCGACTCACGACAACGGGATTTGATGAGACAAGAGGCCAAAATGGATGAAATTAGAGAGGAAGTTAAGCGACGGGAGGATAGAACATTACCGGGTGGTCCGTATATGAACTCGCAATTGCGTGTTCCAGGAGGTCAGCCCAATGGACAATGGGCTCCTCCACCGCGCCAACAGCCATATTATCCTTCACAGCAAATGCCAATGAATGGAGGCTCACACATGCGAATGATGCCTCCGCCACCACAACCCGCGCCCAAACCAAAATCATCGGCCGCACAATTACTTCAAAATTATGGCCAAAATAATTCTTATAATCGTAACTCCTACCAACAGGATGCCATACCTCAACAACAACCCCCGCCTCCGCCGCCAAATGTTAGCTATCGATACGGGCCATCTGGTTATCCACCTTCCCGTCAATCGGAACCGTTGCGGTCACCAAACACTGGCTCTCAAAAGACGCCCTTTACTGACGCTCTGAATAATAGTCGAGTCATAAATAATAATAATAATAACGATTTACGCAAAACTCAATCGGGTGTTGTCAGTCCCTCTCCCTGGGAAAGGGAGGAAAAAGAACGGGTAATTAATTTTTATGTCACACCATTACTTTGAATTTTTATATTAATAGTTTGTTATAATATATTATACTTGAAAACTACTCTTAACAATAAGGTTTGATATATTGATGTAAATTTTAAACACTTAAAAAACTAATGTCTCATTTCATTCATCTCTTTTATAACTTTATTTATTTTTCTCTGTAATCTACTAATGCAAACACAACAACAACAACCACTGCTCTCTTTATTCAAGGATTTCCATCAAAACTAATAAATAACTCAATACTTCTCTCATTTATTCACTACTTGTGCTAACATAACATAAAAAGTAAAATAAATAAAAAATTATTTAAAATACTTTTATTATTTGAATTCTTTTAAATGAATTTTTATTTTATTTTAATATTACCACTATTTTCTTGTTTGCATTGAAAACAAATTTTAAAAAATCATTTTTGCATTTATATTATTGAAAGTTTGCCCAATAAATAACAATTTGATTAATTGATTTATTTTGGAAAAAAATTAGGCGATTCAACAGCGACTCGAAGAGTCAAAACGAAATAGAGATGAAGAGATCAAATACTTGGAGGCGCTTCCGTATCGGACGCCACAACACGAGGAAAGACTTAGAAAATTGCTAATTGAAAAAGAATTTCAACGAAGAGCTGATGAAATGGGTGGCGATGAAGAAGAAGAAGAAGATGACGAAGTGTTGGACAGAGCGGATAACAGAGAAAGAATGTTATCTATGAAACAGGACATCGAAAGGACACGACAGCGACGAGTTGAACGCGAACAGCAGCTTAAACAACAGCAGCAAAATTTTAGACCTAATCTTGAGGAATGGGCTAAACGAACACAACTAAACAATCATAACAATCAATTGGAAGCACAAGAAGAAAGATTGAGACAATTAAGGTTAGAAGAGAACAGACGACATCAGGAACTGGAAGCGGCACAGATGGAGGAGGAAAAACTTATACGAGAAGCTAAACGAAGACAGGTATGATATTTGTAATTTAATGATAATTAAAATACAAAGAGTTTCTAATTATTTTATTTTTTAAAAAAGGATGAAGAACTTCGTTATAGAGGTTTTATTCCGTCGTCAAAGACTCAGTCATTTGCATCACAAGTGGTCGACAAATATAGCAACGAAATCCCGCCGCCATTACCCAACTCTCCGCCACCACTTGAAGCGCCGCAACGACTCGACCGCTTACTGATGACAACTTCGTCGGCCTACCAGTCAGTTCCGCCACCAAAGAGTGAATATAATTCAACACTCGATAATTCGTCAAAATATCCGTCGGCACTACGCAATGGCGATCTTTCCGACAATGCCAACCATATCCCCAAAAAGGTCTCGTGGAATGACACGCCGGCCGAAGCCATAGAAGACGAAGACACTGAGCGACTTGACACTGACGTAACAAACCATCAAAATAGCAGTTTTACATTACAAGACATTGACGAAGCATTGGGCAACCATTCCGATGTTGCCGGAAACACACCCGGTGTGATCGGTGCTCAAGAGGTCTACAATGACCCCCGCCAGCGGATAGAGGCCAGACGTTCCGCACAAATTCAGAGGCCGGCTATCAAACCGGAAAAACTGAGTTTTCAAGAGAAGATGAAAATGTTTGGAGAGGTCTCACAACAGGAGTCACTCAAGTCTAAGGTGAACATCTCGAAAGCTCAGCGAGAGATCGAAAATGATGGACAGCCTAGTGATAGCAATGGAACGACAGGAGGAACGGTAGAAGCGGTCTCTATGATCACCACTTCATCGTAAAAAACTGCAAATAAGAGATTTTTTTGTTAGACAAATATTTTTATTTTTTTATATTTAATAGTTTTGTGTGTCGACTGTTGATGTGTGTGTTATATTGTTAATGAAAGATGCAATCAATCGTATCTATTAATTGCAATGAAATCAAAAAAATTATTGATTATTTTTATGGACAATGTTTATGTATAAAAACGTTATTTTATATATAATTATAATAATTATAATTATTATTTTATCATATACAATTATATAATATAGTTTTTTATTGGATTTTTTAAAGAGTTGTCATTTCATAAATGTATAAAAAATATTTCATAAAACCAATTCAGGATTTTAATAATAACTATAATAATAGCTATATATTTGTTTTTTATGGCATAAATGTTTTTCCCAAACAATATTTAAGTAATGTTATAAATTGATTATTATTTTTATTATTATACAGTATATTTGGTATATTTTTAGTAAATTATATATAAACCACAAGTCATTTCCTATTTTTATTAATGTTTTATCTTAAATAGTGCTTATTATTGCTGCTATTAATTTACATTATATATTATTTACATAATATATACAAAGATAACGAACAAATATTAATTAATTATTATTTTGAAAAAATCTAATTGTATTAAATAATGATATTATTATTATTATTAATTAGTATATATTTATGGCAACATTTTTATGTTTGTTTTAAATATGTGTTTTTGCGCAAAATGATTATATATATATATAAAGTTTATATATTTTATAATAATGCAAAGTTATTAATATTGATTATTTTTATGGACAAACATTTTATTATGTATTATAAAAAAATAAAAAAAGGTTTTGACATTTTTTATAACGGATTTTATTAATGTGTTTGTTTTGATGGATAAAAATTATTTTTATTACTGAAAAATCTATTTAAAATATATATTTATTTAAAAAAATATTTGTTTTAACTGTGATGTAAATCAAGTTATTGAAGAGATTTTGATGTGAAAATAATAATTATTTGAATAATAATAATATTTTATTTGTATTTTACATGTCATATGAACAACAAAAAAATTAGAAATTGAATGGCAACACACATACATATACGTAATGTTAAAAATGTTAGTTTTACTTAAATTTATATAATTTTTATTCATAAATAAGCATTTTTTATTACTATTAATTGTGCCTTATTTTTGTAATGCATTTTATATATTGTAAATAAAAATAAATTTTAATATATATGTATATATATATGATTTATTTATATTTTAATAGTTTTAGATGAATAACTAATTATTTCAAGGTAGGTTATATTTTTTTACAAGCATAATAATTAGTAGTTTTTAAATAATGATTTATTATAACTACTATAAGTATAATAATAAGTAATCATTTACTTATTAATTATGTTTAATATAAAATAATGGTATTTCTAAATTACTTTAATAATGTTTATTACTGTCAGTGAATAAAAACAATATATTAATTATGTTAAATGATAGATAAAATATTAAATAAATTAAAATCATATAGATTTATTAAGCAACATTAACAACATGTTAAAACTATAATTTATATTAATTATTTAAATAAATTAACTTGTTTAATTGTAAAATATTTAAAAAACGCAACAATACATAAATATATTTATTTAATACAAAATTATGTCATAAAAATATTATAAAATTAGTTTATAATAAGCATAAAAATTTATAATAATTCAATATTGATAATTAAATATTTTTATATTGTAAATAATTAAATAAAACTGTTATAAAATAATATAACACTTACAGTAATTATCAGATAAGTTATAGAAAAATATATTACAATAACTTTTTATATAAAAAGTTGTATTATATAAGATGTATTGATAAAAAAGGCATTAATTGTCGACTAATTTTTATCATTTTTTTTGCTGTTAACAATTGCCGGCAAAAGTGATGTCAAATATTTTGAGAAAAGGATTGAACTGCGAATTAAAGGGTTTGGGGCAGAAATGTATGACAAATACGTAACGTGAGGTCTTGAGCTCAAAAATGGACAATTTGTGATCCGATTGGATCTGTTTGTAACAACAAAGCAACTCTTGTATTCATATGAAGATTTGATCTCTAATTTGTTAATTCATACGACCAAACAAATTGAAAAATCTGAAGATTTAGCGATTAATATGTTTTATCGATTTGTTTTAAAGGCTAATAAATATTCGGGTTTCAAATGGTTTGAAATGAGTCTGATTTACGCCAATGAGTGCTATCATCACGCGTTCATCATATCGTCGGTCGTGGAGGACATCCACAAAATCAGAGCAGCGAAGACGGCATTCATTGATAAGTACGGTGAATGGTTGGTGCCATTCGCCCGGTTGGCTAATCTACCCGAAGCCGAATCAGCGCCATTATTCTGATCTGGCTGTATGTGCCCATCAATACTTTAAGTCATGTCATAGTCTCTACAGACAAATCAAATTTCAACCGTTGAAAACAAAAACACCGATTGAAGTATTGAGAAGATATGCCGGTCTTAAAATCAATTGTAAAAATAGTCGCCAAGAGTTAGACAATAGTAGGAAACAACTTGAAATGTTGGACATTGATTGTGATTATAGTTTAGTCTATGAAATTGATTGTTCAGAATTTAGACTTTGTTTTCATGATATTAAACTATCTGTATATCAAAATCTAATAATTAATAAAAAATTAATACAATTCCATTAATGCATTATTATGACTGACTGATTGTTAAACAAATTGATTATCTGATATAGTGACTAATTGAACTAGATAATTTATTTTATTTTTAATTTTATGATTTATATTTTGTTTCAAAATATTAAATTTATTATTTAGTATATTATATTATTTATATTTATCTATAATTATTAGAGACGTCAAACTATATTAATCAAGAAAATAGATATTATATAATACGGATCATTTTTTGATAAAATTTCACTACACATACACATATTTTATTAAAAATTTCAACATTTATACAGAAATAAATGATTAAAAAGTTTATAGAAAAGCATTGATTTTTAACAAAATTATTTGAATTTAATTTATTAATGTATAAAAATTAATGACTTTATATGAATTAAAAAAAAATTGTGTCATTAAATATGTATTAATAATGAATTTAAATATAACAATTTAGAGATATTAATATATATACATGCATTTTCTCATTTATTTTGTTATAATTTTAAAACTATTTAACATAAATTTTATGCTATATTTTTGAGGATATAACCTTTTTTACCAAAAGTTGGTATAATTTTATCAATCAATTATTGAGATATTAAGCTTCAAAGAGTCGGACATCAATTTGTCAATATCTATATATGAATTTTTGAGTTTTATTTTATATATTATTGTTAAGACAAGCAATTAATGACTCATTTAATATCAATATAGTATTAAATATTTTAGGAATTATTTATTTTGTTATTTTTATCACTTAAATACTGTATTGTAGTATGAAATCAAACTGAAAATTACTAATTATTAATTTTTTTAAATAAAAATAATTAAATAAAGTTTTAAATAAAAATAATTAAATAAAGTTTTAAATAAAAATAATTAAATAAAGTTTTAAATAAAAATAATTAAATAAAGTTTTAAATAAAAATAATTAAATAAAGTTTTAAATAAAAATAATTAAATAAAGTTTTAAATAAAAATAATTAAATAAAGTTTTAAATAAAAATAATTAAATAAAGTTTTAAATAAAAATAATTAAATAAAGTTTTAAATAAAAATAATTAAATAAAGTTTTAAATAAAAATAATTAAATAAAGTTTTAAATAAAAATAATTACATAATATTTCCATTGATTACAAGTCACAGAAGTTGTGGATAAATATTATTATAGAAAATAAATTAAATACAAAAAAAATTGCGAAAAGTTATGAAAACAACATTTGTTTTGCAAAAAATAGTTGTAATTTGATATTAAATGATAACAATAACAGATGTTTGATATAAAAACAATTAACAAATTAATTGTCGACTAATTTTTTAATACCAATATTATGGCATCAGTTGATGAATCAACAGTTGTGTATCAATCAACTGATGGATCAGTTGGCGACACCAAATCAGACCTACAAAAGCCGATGACATCTAATGGACAACAGTTGCCGCCACCACTCGTATTGCCCGACAGTCCGGGTGATGACCCGTTGTTTATCTCGCGATTAAAGTATTTCACGGCCACATCACACTGTCATCGGTGGACAAAGAATATGAAGAATGTGTCGCAAAATGGTTTTCATCAGCTCTGGTGGTCAGCGATATTGTCTGAGCCGTCGATTATGACATTAATCAAACAAATATTTGGCGATAATATAGTATATATTAGTGATGATCAATACAAGAAGTACTTCGGCATAAAGTTGGACACGAGTGCCAACATATCCGATCACCAGTTAAAGGCCAATCATTTTTTGCTATTCATTATTGCCGGCAAAAGTGACGTCAAATATCTCGAAGAATGGACTAAACGGCGAATTAGAGGTTATGGAGCCGTAATGTATATCAGATACCCGACGTACGGTCTTGAGCTCAAATGCGGTGAATTTGTGGTCCGACCGGAACTGTTTGCTACGACAAAGCAAGTCATGTATTCGTATAATAAATTGATTTATCATTTGATTTGCCACAGCTTTAATAAGACTTCTTCTGAAGATTTAGCAGTTCGTGATTTTTATCGATTCGTTTTAATGGCAAATGAATATTCTGGTCTTAAATGGTTTAAATTGAGTCTGAAATACGCTGATGACTGCCATAGTAAAGCATTGATTATTTCGTCGGTCGTGGAGGACATCCACAAAATCAGGGCAGCGAAGAGTGCATTCATTGAGAAGTACAGTGAAAATTTGCTACCATTTGCCCGACTTCTGGATTTACCCGAAGCCGAGTCATTTAATCAGCGCCATTATCCCGATTTGGCTGTCTGTGCTCATCAACATTATACATCACTAGAGTCCACGGGTCTCTACAAACAAATCAAATTTCAACCGTTGAAAACAAGAACACCAATTGAAGAATTGAGACGATATGCCACTCCTAGTATTCCCTACTGTATTGACATCATTGAGAAACAAGAGATAATCAAAGAGTTGGATCAAATTAGGAAACGACTTGAAAAGTTGGGCATTGCTTGCGATAATAGTTTGGTCGACCAAAACATAGCTAAGTTTGAC